AGATAATGGAGATGATATTTATGACTGGAGATAATGGAGATAATAGTTATGACTGGAGATAATGGAGAAATTAGTTATGACTGGAGATAATTGAGATAATATTTATGACTGAAGATAATGGAGATAATATTTATGACTGGAGATAATGGAGATATTAGTTATGACTGGAGATAATGGAGATAACATTTATGACTGGAGATAATGGAGATCATAGTTATGACTGGTGATGATGGAGATCATAGTTATGACTGGAGATGATGGAGATAATAGTTATTCACAGCATCAAGACGGAGAAGGCTCTTAGTCTTGGATGAGAAATGAGTTCCTGTATTTAGTTTAGTTGCAGATAAGCATAAGTGTTAGTATCTTGGCAAATCTGAGCACAGTGTGTGACTATTTAGATTCATACTAAAACAGGAGACACGAGAGGTTACTCAGATCTTTTGCTCAGTAGAAATATCTGAGCAGCAGGAGAGACTTTCCATCTGGTCTCATTGTTGTCCAGGAGAAACTAGAGATATTAATCTTTTTTTTTCTAATTATCTTTTTTTTTTCCTTTCCTATGGGACTGAAAGACTGTTGTGAGATTTCATTGCTGTCCAAAGAAAAACAAGTATTTCCAAAACAACAACTTCACAGGAGAGGGCAAAACGGTTTTTACGTTTAATGTATGTTAATGTAAAGAGATTTTAATCTAAGCGATTTTGAAGCGTTTCTGCTGGTCCTTTCATCATGAAATATTAACACAATGAAAAGGGCAGCTGTTGTGTTCAAATGATAAAGAAAAATAAAAAACGGACAAGATGAAGATACATATTTTTCTTTGGACAGCAACGATATGGTCACATGACAGGATTCCTTCACATGACAGTAAACACAGCAAAATTACATCTTGTCCATGCACATTTGAAAGGTTCTTTAGAGAACCAAAAGTGTTTCCATAAAGAACCTTTTATTTTTAAGAGTACACACTTTAAATAGATGACCCTTTAAGGGTTCTTTAATAAATAGAATGGTTCTCAGAAAGGGTTCTTGAAACCTTTAAAAGGATCTTCATGCTCATACATCTCAATTACAAAAGTGGTTCTTCTGTGGCATCACTCAAAGAACCATTTATGGCACCTTTTTGAATTATTTACTGACCACCAAACACGTAGTGTTTTTTTGAGGCCAATAAGGTCTCAGCATATGTGGATCTTCTTCAAGCATGTTGGAAAAACATGTCAGGTGGATCATCAAACTGCTTGAGAGAATGATTGAGAGTATATAAAACTGCATCAACACAAAAGGGACACTACTTTAAAATTAAAAGGTAGTTTAGCATTTTTGGTTTAGTCATTTCCTTTATGGTAACTGAAAGAAAGACATACTTAACACAAGCTTGAAGGGGAATTCTACCTTTTTTCAATATTTCTGCATAAATTAATTAAGATATAAACAAATTCATTCAGAGTGGTTTGATGTGAAATGCTCTATTTTAGAGAAATTGTCAGAACTGATACAGTGGTGGTGATAGGAATCAGATGTCTAAAGAGTTTAATGCCTCTAAAAGCTCCCTCACAGAGAGCTATTACAGAAAATGATTGTGAATGTGCTGCCTGATGCCAGAGGCATTGTTTTACAATACATTTGAGAAAAAGTTTTTGCTTAAAATATAATTTTAACAAAAAAAGATTAATGGTGGAGAGGTACATATGGAGCATTATAAGGCAAAATAATCCCCCAAAGCATCTTATTTTTTCAGATGTGCCACTATTTTACCAATATCAATATTATAGAAAAATCTGGTGGTTTTGGGTGCTAAATGAAATGCATTTATTGTACATACACCGATCAGGCGTAACATTATGACCACCTCCTTGTTTCTACGCTCATTGTCCATTTTATCAGCTCCACTTACTATATAGGTGCACTTTGTAGTTCTACAATTACAGACTGTAGTCCATCTGTTGTTCTGCATACTTTGTTAGCCCCCTTTTACCCTGTTCTTCAGTGGTCAGGACCCCCAGCAGCAGATGAGCTATCGTCTATGACTTTACATCTACAAGGTGGACTGATGTGGTAGGAGTGTCTAACAGAGTGGACAGTGAGTGGACACAGTGTTTAAAAACTCCAGCAGCACTGCTGTGTCTGATCCACTCGTACCAGCACAACGCACACTAACACACCACCACCACATCAGCATTACTGCAGTGCTGAGAACGATCCACCACCCAAATAGTACCTGCTCTGTGAGGGTCCATGGGGCTCTGAAGAACAGGGTAAAAGGGGGCTAACAAAGTATGCAGAGAAACAGATGGACTACAGTCTGTAATTGTAGAACTACAAAGTGCACCTATATAGTAAGTGGAGCCGATAAAAATGGACAATAAGCATAGAAACAAAGAGGTGGTCATAATGTTACGCCTGATCGGTGTATGTGTTGTAGACATTGTGACCCCTGGTTCCTATCACCACCACTTTAAAGAAAAACTGACTCTGTATGTTTTTCTACAAATGAACCACTCTGACTTTGTTTACATCTCAACTACTGAATTATGCAGAAATTTTGAAACATCATGGACTTCCTTTTTAATTGTAACATAAGTCAATGTAACGAGGATTTATGCCACCTGACAATTTCAGCTTTTTTTTTTTTGATATGGCAGGTACAATGTGTCATTGCATAGTTGGTTCTCTCTAATACTCCAAAATATGGGAAACTGAAGAAAATAAATAAAAACGAGTTTTGATAGGCCCTGATAAGTCTTGTCATCACTATTTCACCTGCTATGCTTTTACAGATTATGTACAGAGGTCAGGTCCCACATGACCCCCAGGCCTAAAGTCTAGGCCATGCTGTTGTATAGGGAAAATAGATTATGATCTTCATGTATGGGACTGCATGCACATGGGCTGAAATGTCAGTGGTGTAAGCAGGGCCCACCCTCCTCCATGTGCGCGCTTTCCTGTTCCCCTCCCATTCCCAGCCTCTCTGTTTGGCGCGGATATCCCCAGGAAAAGGCAACATGGATCGTGATGTCAGCAGCTGCGGCACAGCGGCCCTCCTCGGTGGGAATTTAAAGGAATAGGACGTGCAATAGAGGCTCTGACTCGTCCGCTCCAGAGTATATTTGTGTAGAGATAACACTGTGGGTATCGTGTGAAAGCTGTTGAGTAATTGGCCTCTTGCTTAAGAGAACTACCTGAAAGCTACTTTTACAGAATGATACATCTTGAGGTGTGTTCAGCAAAGCTGTCTTTAGGCTCTGGGTTCCCACGCCACTTCATATGACTCACATGTAAGCAGATGTCTTTAAAGATAGGGTTTCATGTCAATTTAGCATCTGCTGAGACAGTGTTTGTATACAGCAACTTTCTCAGACCCAGTTTGTTGTTTCCCACCCCTCCAAACACAAATGCATCTACTTTGGGTTACTGTGGATCCCCTTGAAATTGTCTTTATTAAATTAAAGTCTTACACTTTGTCTCGTTTGTATATGCGTAGTGTGCGTAATGAAGTGTATTTATTCTGTGTATACAATGTTCCCTGTTCTTCTGCACACAAATAGTACATCCATTGTACATGTACAGAGTAAGGAACTGAAGTGAGGGCCTACATAAAAGCCCTAGTAGTTGTTAAGCTCTTAATTGTCTTGTGTGTTCACCCTTTTCCTTTATTATAGCATCCATTCTTTCTGAGAGAGTTGCTTTCAGTTTTTTTCAGTTACGTTTGCAGTGATATTATTCCGCATCCAAAGTTCAGTCTTAGAAGTTGGTTGATTTCGCTGCTTATTATTTTCAAAGTAATCCTCATTAAAATTTAGACTCATAAGTCCATAAAACTTAGTCCGCACTCCACATCTCAGGTGTCCAGTTTCAGTGTTTGAACCTATTTTTTTCTCTCAGTAATAGCTTCTAGACAGCTACACATCCTTTCAGACTCATTGTGTTGAGTTGTCTTCTCACAGTGGAAGGATGGACAGAAACACCTGTGGATTTTTTCAGGTCTGAAGCAAGAGTGGACCTTGATTTTCTCCTCTTTCTCAAAGATGAAAGTACTGTTTAACTGATGGGGACAGTTTTGGTGGTCTACCAGGTCTTTTTTTCTATATCTTTTAATCATTTTTATGAACTCCTGTTTTGGAAACTCCTGTTTTTTCATATTTTTTCTTTTGACTTTCTCTTTCCTCGCACTGTTAGAAATAAAGGTTCTGTGCAGGTACATTTTTCACTCATCAAGGTACAAACAATGTAAATGTACCCACCAAGGTACAACAGTGGTTTTAAAGTCCAATTGTGTGCCTTAAATATAATTTTCCAAGGTAAAAAAAAAATATTTGTATCTTTTCATAACCTAATGTTTTAAAAGAGAACAATAAAATTAAAAGTCTGGAGACGAGACGGGGTGTGTGGAGTCAACACAACTTTAAAATATAATTTCAATGGATTATGGTACAAGTATGTTCCCTGACTGAAGGTACTCAGATGTACCCATGAGGGTACCTCCCCAGTGACCACAGGGGTACTGCCCCAGTGAGAGTTTCATACCTTATTTCAGAGAGTGCATGCAAGTGGATTACTTTATATCGAATCTGCTCAGAAATATCTCCTGAAAATTATTAACTTGTACTTAATGGCCCTTTTGACTAGAAATGAAATACATTAAGGGTGGTCTCTGACTTTCGCACAGTATCCTACATGTGCAGATGAGGATTCTGAGTGATTCATAACTTCTCGAAGTTTAGGTTAAAATGTTGCTTCACAACCTGCACTGTTTCACTGTTTCAGAATGATGAGTGCATTTGACTTTTACAGACTTAATTGCAGCCTAGAGCAAAAATCATGACAAATGGATGAGCCCTGACACATGATTTACACAGCTCAATTCCAAACACCTTTCGTGATGATTGATTGGATCATGACTGTCCAGAAGAGCTGAGCTTTTTTGACTGTGTGAAATGAGTACCATAAGAGTTTAACAGCAGTGCCCTCTGCTGGCAAGACTGAATGACGCAGCATGATGTCTAACCTTTACTATTAAAACCAGAACAGTATTCAGATTAAAAACACAGTAAAACAGTAGATCCAGGAAAGTCCACAGAAAATTACATTAAACAATTACTTCAGTATGAAGTCTCTTTACTGTACATGCTGAGAAACATTAGACATCATAGGGGGTAAAAGATAATAATAAAACAATAGATAATGGAAGTATGAACTTCTTGCAAACATCTGGATCACATCTGGACATGAAGAGACAAGACTAATCCAAGTCTTGACCCATACTGTGACTCTGCTACACCGGCTTTTCTGTTGTGTTGGTAGGAGGTCTGAAGGTAGGAGGTTCTGGAATAGGACATGGATCTTGGAAGAAAACAGAAGGAATAATTTTTCACAATTACATAAAGAGTAAGACGTGATTAAGGTGTACTATGACATCTAAAAACTCTTTCAAATGTGTATAGACATTTCAGAGCAGTTTAGGTCAATGTTCAAATTGTCCTTTTAACCTGATAGAGGGTCAGCTATTGATATCCAGATCCAGAAATTAATCATTGCAGTAGAAAAAGCTGAACTGATCTCAGTTCAATTTCAAAGGGCAACTATTTCCATCCTGATTTTACTGTTTATTCTGGAGTCTGGACTGCACTGTATTTGCTTTGTAAACATCACAAGGCCTGTGATCCCTCACACCACACTTATCTCAGTCTAATGTCTTATTTACTTTGCATTGCTTTTTTACACTGCGTCAGACTTACCCAGAATAGCTGGTGTTACGATGGATTCCAGAGGAAAGCCCAAAGACAGAGCATATAATCTAAATTTTTCTACCACCTCCGGCCCGAGAGTTGGGGTACGACCTAAAGCAGACATACAGGAGAATTAGGTGGAGTCAAGTTTATTTATAAAGCACATATAAAAATGACAAGTTGCTGAAAGTGCTGCACAATAGATTTAAATGAATTAAGGAAAAGCTGAAATTATATTCAAAATCACACAAGCCAGTAAAAGACAGTACAGGACATTTTTTACATAAACAACATAATATTTTGTAGATGTTTTACTTAATATTTAAAAAATTGGGAACAAAGTTATTAAGTTATTTGCCTTGAGATTTGATCAACACTTGGACATTCCATTGTAGCATGTTCAAGACATGTTTTTGGCATGTTAGTTTTAGGTTAGGGTTAGGATGTGTTTTCCAGTATTTATTGCACTTGGATCATTTTGCTAGGGTCGCTGATTGGATATAGGGAGCACTAGGAACCACCCCTGGGGGTGTGTGAGGGGTGGAGAGTGAAATGTGAGCTGGTTTAGAAAATTAGTTGCTAGAGAGAGAAAAGCTTTGCTTGTGTACAGCATGTCTATGGCTGACAACGGCTGGAAAAGTACCAGGACTTGTGCGAAATACAGACACACACACACACTTTCTAAGCCGCTTATCCCTCAGGGTCACAGGGGGAGCCGGAGCCTATCCCAGCAGTCATTGGGCAGGAGGCAGGAAACACTCTGGACAGGTTGCCAGTCCATCGCAGGGCAGACAGACAGACATATACATTCACACACTTATTCACACCTAGGGGCAATTTAGCATGTCCGATTGGCCTGCCTTCATGTTTTTGGACTGTGGGAGTCCCCGGAGGAAACCCACACAGACACAGGGAGAGCATGCAAACTCCACACAGAAAGGACCCTGGTCACCTGGCTGGGAGTGCGAAATATAATATAATATAATATAATATAATATAATATAATAGCATTGCTAAAATAAAAACATTTAAAATCTGTGTTCTCTGTGCATCTCTTAAGGCCTCTTATTAGCATAATCCCACAAACACACACACATACACACTCACACAAATGTGTTTGCTACAGTTACACAGAATCAGTCAGTAAGTCAGTGACTCAGTAAAAGACTGTGACTCAAGTAGGATGGCCTGCTTGCCAGTCCAGCAAAAACTTAGGCAGACTCAAACTTATTGATTACTGTGTGCAGCAGTGGGCCACATGGTTTAGATTTGGTTGGACATATGCAGGTGCTTCTTGTACTCACCATAGAGAGCTACCTGAGTGTAATCTTTGTCCATCTTCTTGTATTTCAGGATCATAGCATAGTCAGTGTAGTTGGCCTCCACCACTGTGATGTCTTTCATTATCTTGTGTCCTTACAGTAAAGAAAACAGCAGGATGAGTGATTGTGCTCATCATCATAATGTGCTCATGAATTCTGTTCACTCTTCACTTATGAAGCCTGAGGAGTACCTGCCTGCACTCTGTATGAAGCCTTGTAAACTGCAAATGGCAATGGTTTATAGTCTAGGCAAAAGGCAGGAATGAGGCCCCCAGGATGTAGGTGTAAAATGTAGGTGTCCCAATACTTTTGTCTATAACTGCCCAGCGGCATTGCCTAGATGGACACTGAGTGACATTTCCTATAAGGACTTTAGCAGTACTCTGTTGTGACAAAAAAATCTAGCTTTGGGCTATCTAACATGGCTTGTGTAGGGACAAATGTTTTGTTTTTTGTATTCCTCTACAGCATTTTGATGACTTTATTTAACTTTCCCTCTCAAAACCGAAGAACCTCCTTTCTCCTTTGTAGATTATCGCTAGATCGCTTGTTCATACCAGACTGTCTTTATGCAGTTGTATCATCATGTAACAGCATGGAATAGTCCATTATGACCAGGGAGGGGGCATCATTAAAAGCAATTAAGATAACTGGTACAATTGCAAATAACAGCTATATTTATATATATATTTATATATATATAGATATATATATATTTTCATGGGGTCTCTGGGTGGCTGCCTGCCCTTTCCTGTTACAAAGACCATCCCAAACACATCAAAGCTATGAAATAAAGAATCACAACTATCTAATATTTTTTATTACTAAGAGTAATCTCTGTGTGACTGTGCAGTTTTACACACTCATGACCATTCTTTCAAGTTTGTTCACTGCTTGGAAGCAAATCTGGAAATTCCAAGCATCTCCACACACAAGATTAATGGCAGAATATGATTTCAATCTTACCAGCAGTCTTCAATAGGAAGGGTTTTCCACAGTCTTACTAAAGTGATATTTCTCTTATCTGTGCTGTTTTCAGCTGCTTACATGCCATATAAAAGCAGGGGAGACTTACTTTGGCTAAAATATGTGAACAGTCCAGGAACATCTGTCTTCTCATACGTATACAAATTGGTCAAGCAGGTCTTTGACCTGAGCGTAAAAATTAAGAAGACAGAAAAAAAGCTTGATTCAGATAAAATACAAACAATGCTGAAAACATTAATGTATTGATAACATGTTATATTTGCTGAAGTGTGAAAAATGACAGTTATCATGGTAGCTGGTAGCATGTAAATGTATTGTGCTAACTCTCTACCCATAAGATCAACTCATTTCCAAAGCAATAAAGACTGTACTCAGTCATAGTCCACATGGAGAGGTTGGCACTGCCGTTTTCATTAGCAACCACGAAACCCTTGGAGATCAGCACTTTGTCTTTGTATTTAATAAAGGATGGAGATTCGTAAGCCATGCCAACACGGTACCAGAAGCCTGCAAACTAAGAAGAAGAGTGACAGGCATTAGAGCCTTTACTTCCAATGACATAGAAAGTTAACTAGTTACATTTGCTTCTCAAAACAACAGAGTCTTTTTACTCCTCATAAAGTGGTTACTTCATCTTAGTACCCTCATACTACTATTCACACAATAACTTAAAGGAATGATTGACCAAGACATGTGTTTGTGTTTGAATTGTTAGTGTTTGTTTCTTTAGTTTTGCACTGGAGCTACGAGGCTAATATAACAGAAGTCAAAGTCACCGAAAAAGATCCCACTCCTAACAACCTCATGCTCTGCACATGTTTGCATTTCCACACTCTCAGCAAAAAAGAGTTCTATATACAGTCATATCAAATGTTCAGGCACCCATGGTTAACTCACATTTTGTTGATTTGTGAAAATAAGTACACATCCTTTTTAACATTTTAATACACGACTACTTTTTTTTTGCTGAATTTAACATTGAGAGAATATGGCCTATTTTATGTTTTATGTTTCTAATATGCTAAACTCTACTAAAGGTTGCTGGAAAAAAAGCCATATTTAAGCATGTTCTCTGTATAGGATGTGTTATTTTCATTTAGAAAATTAACACCACGTGTAATTTCTCCAGGGGCATTCAAATGTTCGCATATGACTGCAGTACTGAAAAAGAGTTCTTTGACTTGTAACAACAGTGGAACCCTTTTTGGTACCATATAGAGTCATTTGTAAAGGTTATTCAAAGAACGATATACAAGAGGATGTCCTTTGTGGAAAAGATCTATTATATAACGTAATATATAATTATATACTCTTCTATTGAAGAACCCTATTTTTTAAAGGTTACTCTACACACCTGACACAGCCAATGAGGGACTTGTTAATATGTTGAATCAAGTCTGCTGGATGAGACAAAGCACAAAAATACTCATAGCGTGAGGTCGGTAGGACTTAGACTGTAAACCCCTGTTTTAAAGCTAAAGCTTTTCATCTAATGTCAGTGAAACTTGGAAAAGCGTTTACCAGTCATCAGTGGTTTAGTTCCAACTTATACACTGTTAGAAATTAAGGTACTATGCAGTTACATGTTACAGGGTACATTTTTATTGTTTGTACATTGATGAACGAAAAACGTACCTGCACAGTACCTTAATTTCTAACAGTGTATAAATTGGAAATAAACCACTGACGTACCTTTTCTCAACCTAATGTTTTAAAGCAGAACAATAAAATAAAAAAGCCTGGAGATGAGACGGGGTGTGTGGAGCCAGTACAACTTAGAAAATATCATTTCAATGGATTATGGTACAATTATGTTCCCTGACTAAAGGTACTGAAATGTACCCTTGAGGGTACTGCCCCAGTGACCGTATCGTACCTTTGTTTCTGAAAGTGTACATAAGTATAAGAAGTATAAGTGTTGTCCTTAACTGGATACATGGATGTGTCTAGTCCAGGGGTGCACAACTCCAGTCCTGGAGGGCCAGTGTCCAGCAGAGTTTGAAGGTTTCCCTGCTCAAACACACCCACTAAACCTGGCAATTAACAGGTGAGCGTGATCAGGTGTGTTGGAGCAGGAAAATCACCAAACTGTGCTGGACCAGCCCTCCAGGACCAGAGTTGTGTACCCCTGGTCTAGTCAAAGGGGAATTCCACCAATTTTAGTGATTTATATGTAAACAAAGTCATTCAGAGTGGTTTGATGTAAAATGCTGTGTTCTAGAGAAACTTACAAAGTTGTTCACAATGGTGGTGACAGCAACCAAATGTTCAAAGAGTTTAATGCTGCTAAAAGCTACGTCACAAAAAATGATTACACAAAGCTTTAGACATTGTTTTTTAATAGTTTTGAGAAGAATTGGCCTGACACATATTTAATAAATATATGGTGATAATGTACATGCAAGGTGTTGTGAGGCAAAATAGTACCGAAAGAAAACTTTTTTCCTTGATTTACCCCTAAAATTATCACGATTATATATAAAAATTCAGAAGACATGCATAGGTTCACTGATCATTAGGATAGCAAATAAAATGGCCTTAAATGCATTGTAGACATCGGGACCTCTGGTTCCTCTCACCAGAAATCAAAAGAATCAAAAGAAATCTGGATTGGTAAGTTACTTACAATATACCACTTCACAACATTACATCATACCACTCTGTATGAATTTGTTTACATCTGAACAACTGAACTATGCAGAAATGTAGAAAAATTGGTGGAACTTCCCTTTAAAGACACAATGTGCTGTATATCGCTGCTGTCGGAACAAAGCAGCGTGTTTTTTAGGTTTCTGACATAACAAAAATGCCTGCTGCCCTTTACATTGTATATAGATTTCACAATAAATGGCCCAAAAGAAATGGTGTAGAATTAAAGTCTGGTTACACTGACTTACATTAAAAGTAAAGCATGTTTTTTCCTTCTCCTGTAAAGTCATCATTTTAGAGATTGATGGTTGTATTCTGACAACAGTGCTATGTACTATGTTAAACTATGGTAAAACTTTATTTTGATGGCTGACTGTAGACACTTTACTGTACTATTTCTAGTTTCGACACTTAGTTTAACAATTAAATTAAAGGGCACCATTAAAATAAAATGCATTCTTTACATCTATTTTATTTTATTAAGTGTACTTAATAAAATATGAGCTACTAATGCTTTGTTTTGTAGAATCACAGCATGTTGCAATCCTGCATGACCTTAGCACTGTTTGTTTAATTTGACAACCCTGCTAACCCAGATTTTACTCATTCACCTACTCAGATTAACATACTCACACTAGACTATTCTTAGTGGCATATTTCACTCACCTGCTCCAGATCAAAACCCTGCTGTGGCTGAACATCAGCGTAGTGGAGACAGTGTGTCCACAGCACGACGCTGAACAAAACCGTTACAGCCAGAATCATTTTGGACTGCAATCCAGAGGCTGTGTGTAAAAGCAAAGCTCACACAGTGCAGCGGGGACGAGGCCAGAGTCTGCAGGCTGTTCCAGGAACGCAGGGGCTTTATGTGGATAACTCTGAGCAGACCAGGCCCCCAAACATGATTCACACATAATTCCACCACTGTAAAAGTGAAACTTGAGTAACAGCACATTCCCAAAAATATGTCTAGGCAAGTAGTGCTACTGATACAGACCTGAGCCAAATCCTACCAGGAATACACTTCAGATAAAACTAGTGCTTTTACTGAAATGATAGCATTTCCTATATGACATCATCATATTACCACTTTTTGGTAATTGTCCTGAACAGATAGACCTGGTTCATCTAAACAGTTAATTATCAGGTTTAGAAGGTGTTTTGGAACAGGGAAATCAGCTAAAAGCTGGACTGCAGCCCTCTAGGCACGGAATTGGAGGCAATTACTGGAGCCTTTTGTGTGAAGTAGTGTAATATCTTGACCCGATATTGCTACTTTTGCAATTTTACGACTCATGGATATCTATGATAACATATTTCAACCCTTAGCCTACATTATATCAGCTTGAATGAGCCATAATAAGCAAACAAGAAATTACATTGTCATTTGAAAAAAATTCATTAAAGCTGCTCACAGTAAGATTTCTGACTAAAATTGAAAGAAAAAAAAACAAAAAGGGCTATATGGTCCGAGTGCTGCTCTAAAGCCTAAAGTAATACCCTCTAAAGCCTGAAATCAATCAACCAAAACATCCAGAACGCAGCTTTAAAGCTAAATCTTGCATGGAGGGCCATTATTTATTTATTTATTTTTGACTTGGGGCCCATTTGAAACCGATTACACCCTTGTTCTACTTGCGGACACATTACTTTAGATTGCAGGGTTATTTAATTCCACTTAAGTGTCTCTTAAGTGTTTCCTAGCCTTTAAACAACACTTCTCGTACGAATCTTTTGCTGACTAAGCTTGAAGAGACATTCTCTGTAAAATTCAAGCAGCAACTTGTTTTCTTCAAACCAGCTAAAAACAGGAAAACATGCAGAAATGGATTACGAGAAGTGAAAGCAGCCTGCGATTACATGAGAAAAGACAAGAGCAAATAAATCATGTCAGAGCAGAGAAATATAGCATGACTGTTGGAAACACCACAATGAGAAAGTTTCCAGGAATTATACAAACTTCTTTTAAAATCAGTGGAACAATGCTGGGGGGCAATAGTGATCACACAACTGGAGGCAAATGTGCAATGCACAAAAATCATCAGTCAGTAGGTAACATGCGGATAAAAACAGAAAGCAGTCATTTCCAAATTCACTGACCTGTATTTAAATGAAATCAGTACAAAGACAAGATATTTCATGTTTTAACATATTTTAAACCCAGTATGGTACCATGAGTACTACATTCTGAGAAATTCACAAAATGCACAATAACCTTTGATAAGGAGATACTCTTCTCATCTACTAGGTACCATCATAAGTAGGGATTTGTTTCATGAGAATTTGGAAGCTTACATGGAAAAGAGCATGGTTAATTAATCACTTCCCCCCCATAGTCTCACTTAAAAAATAAATAAATAAATAAAAATCAATAACCATTGAAAGGAACAATTACAGCAGCTGTAAAATTTATGTATGGAATCTATGAAAAGGTTTAAGAGTAATCACTACTGAATTAATAATACCGTTAGGTCCATATGGATTTGTTCCTTGTAGTGGCTTTTTTTTTTTAAAGGTAAATAAAGGGGAAAGGGTCAAAGTACGTGTTGGGATACTTTTCTCTCAATCACACACAGCCAAACTTCTGAAAACTGACGATAAAAATACAATTTATTTAAGAGTCAAGACAAATAAACAATGCAAAGATAAATTACTAAAAAAAAATACTAAAAAAAAAAAAGAATGAAAAAACATGAATTAAAAATTCTAACCAGAAGAGTGATTTGTTCCTTCTTCAGTGTACGTTAAGGTGTTTTTGGCACAGTTTGGTTCAGTGAATATTGTGGGTACAGCTTATTAGGTCACCTTCACTTAAAAGAAGCACCTTCATTTAAATCATTGCATAAAATTCATGGCAGTGTAATGTAATAAACTAACACTGTATCGAACTGTGATTTGTTAAACATCCCTGAAAAAGGACTCAAATGGTAAACTTCACAATATACAGTCCTGATACTAAACTAGTGATATCATTCCATATTTATATATATTTAATTTTTCATTTTATACTCCAATATTTTTAGTTAAACAGTGTTTTACTGCCTGTCAGTTCTCAACTGTTATACATCTTAAACTCCATTACTAAATAATATAAACATTGTAGCACGGGAGGTGGAGCTACACAGAATTCTTTGTGGCTTTTGCTTCTGTTAATTCTCTCTTATTTTTTATTTTCATTTTTCTTGTGTTATGTCTAGCGGTGTCAAAGTTAGCAGGTTAATAACATGTTAATAACTTGTTAATAAGGCACTACATAACTTAATGCCACTCATTTTTTTTCAACGCATTCTCCTTGTTTGATCCTTTAAACCAGCCATAGTAGATCAGACTGCAACCCAGCTGCTCACATGCTGTTGCTATGACTCCATGACTAAAGCCCTCTACATACAGCTTCTAATTGCCAAGGCAAATTGATGGCTCTCTTGATAAAACCAACGGTATTTCCAGCTACTGCAGTGCCGTGAACGTTTTTACCGAAGTGAGCTGAGTCTGAAATATTATCTACAAGCTAAACACACAGCTGATGCCAGCAATATCTGTAATATCAGTAGCACTGGAGAACGCCTACAGCAGACTATTCTGGACTTAAAACCGGATAAATCAACAAGCAGCAAACTAACAAAAGCAACAGCAAAGTACCCCTCAACAGCCTCCATTGTAACAAGAATCCACAAGCTGTATAAACAGCTTGATGAGAGCTGACAGAACGAGAGAACGGAAGGAGTTGGAACCATTCACTCTGCATATATATACATATCAGTGGCTGCATGTTTCAACCAAAGAGTGTACAATGGTATTTAATGGTATTACTCATTCGTTGGAACATGCAGCCACTGTTGCTCTCAGTGGATGTCGATGATGATAACTGGACCCTGTGTTCACCACAGTTCATAGTTTTCGTGTTCAGCTTCATGTGGACACTGCGTTCACATGATGAAAATAATGTTACTCAAGTATAGAAAAAGAAAAATATTCTGATTAGTCTTTGTTTATACAAAACTGTAACAAATGGCACTGCTTTCTTTCCTTAGGGTCAAATATGAGCATTTGAGAAATGCAATTCATCACAATTCACTGTTTTAATTGTTTGCCAACCCTAGATACAACATGTTATTCTCATGCTAAAGATCAAGTTTGGATACATTGCACATGTTTTATTATTCTTTTCGTGATGGTGTTTTGTGTTTAAATTCACTGGTGTAGTATGGAATTCTGTTATATCAACAAGGGGTCACTTACATTGGGCTCCCCAGTGGCACAACTGTCTAAGGTTTCAGGTTACTGCTGAGAGATAGTGAGTTTGAATCCCAGCTGAATGCTGCACTGAAAAGACAGACAGTATTTATCGATGCATAAGTAGCGATATTTCTGTCAATACTGTTAAAACTACAGGTCGTCATCATAGGCCAATATCATTGGCCAACCAATGTATCTGTTGGGCTCCATTAACTTCTTAATATTACTTACTTTATGTATGAACATCTTGAAAAAAGAACTTCTATGTAAATAGTTCTCCTTACCTTTGTTTAAAGACCAGTTACTAACTTCAGACATCATAAGACGCCAGTGCTGACTCATACAACATTCATTTACATTTGACTTTGGGATTGGCTGCGAGATGAAAGTTTAGCTTTGGCTTAGCGGGTTCTTTTAAAATGGGCCTGAATCTCCTCCAGTGTTTTTCCTTTAGTCTCTGGCACAAAGAAGATTGTGAAGATGACATTGAGGGCACAGAGGATGGAGAACATCCAGAAGGTTCCTGCACTGGTTATGAGATCCTGTGGGATTACAATTAAACTATTACCATCTCCAAAACTTTTCTGTCACATCAACAGGCACACATATCTTTTAGTTGTGTTTATCCAAATGCAGAGTGACCTGGGGGGGTTCACAAAGCAGGACTTCTCAGTTTAACCAGACACTTTAAGCCCAAAGTTAAGCCTGTCCAATAGGAAAAGAGCTGAAGGTCATTCCTATTAGGCAGTCCTCATCTTTGGGCTTATGTTATCTGGCTAACTAAGAAATCCGTCTTTGTGGAATACCCGCCCTGGACATAGATTAAACCTGATCTGTGACTTACATACATTGTCACATGTAATGAAACTGATGATTCATTGTTGAAGAGTCGTTAAGTTGAACACGGGACTCAGATCAGATTCCCTACTTTCTGTTCCCATTACCTTAATGTTCTTGCAATTAAAGCACAAACAACTGACGTAAAAGTGTTGATATCAATATCATTAATAAATACATAAATAAAAGGCATGAAATCATTTGGGACCACTGGTTATAATGCCAACTAGTAGTTCTGTAACAGCTGCAAGGGAAGAACTTCTTACTATGAGGTTGTGGAAGGACTTAGTAACGATGAAGGCACAGGTCCAGTTGGTGAGGACACAGACAGCACTGCCTAACCCTCGCACCCTAGTAGGAAAGATCTCGGACATCACCAGCCATGGCGTAGGGCCCCAGCCAAGTGCAAAGCCTGAGAAACACATGTACAAAATTTAAATTCTTTCAAGAGATAAATGGACAGTAACATGTTCATTAACAGAGCAAAAGAGCTTGACTAAATGTCTGCAGCAACAGTGCACACCGGACTGAAACCTAATCTTATTGCAACCCTAAATCATATACACCTGACTCTCACATTCAGATGCTCCTGAAGGTTTAAATGAAGCAGGTGTGTGATTGTTTTCCCATATAATACATTTGAATAAGAGAATGTCGCTGCAAAGAAATTAGAATGTAAACATATTTTGGAAAAACTCCTGTGCTTAAGCTAGTGGTCAATAAACATATTGTGTGGTTGTTGGCAAACTGATGTATTTTTGGTCTGTAATGTATGTGCAAAAGTCAGAAACCACCATTCAGTTGTTAAATTTCCACTGTCATTAAGTACAATTTATTCATTTTATAGCATTAGGAAAAACTGAATATGGTATATATTTAAAAGCAAATTACAAAGAAGCCTTAAATACTAAATTTAATATCACATTTTCAGTAATTTAATAGCAAATGTTCAGTATGTAGTCTGTCCACCTTTGCCTTTATTACAACATCCTGGTTTCCTGAGAAACCTGCAGGGATATTTTTTCACACCTTTCACACAAGTTCAGTCTTAGAAGTTGGTTGCATTTTCTGCTTCTCACGATTCAAGTAATCCCAAACACATTCAGTGATGTGGAGGTGAGGACTCTACGGTGGCCAGTTCATTGTTCTGAACTGGCCACCCCAGCTTTTTGTTTGATTTTACTTGTATTTTTGTCTGTTTCCTTTTCTCAATAACAGGTTTTTAAACAACTGCACATTATTTTAGACCCATAGTGTTGAGTTGTATTCTCACAGTGAAGGAATGGACAGAAACCCTTGAGGATTGTTTTCAGAGAAAAGAGCTCACAAATATGAGATTTTTAAGTATTACTGACTTGGTGCTGACAATTTTGGTGGCCTACCAGGTCTTGCACATGTGCCTCATTATCTCTATGTCTAGTTTTGTCATTTATTTTTCTTTTGACTTTCCTCTTACTTATACAAGTAAAAAAAACAAATAACCTGTACTTAATGGCCATTTTGACTGGAAATCGAATCAAAATGTGTTCTCTCTGAAATTAACTTCTAGACAAGCAGCAACTAGGCCAAAACCCAGTCCAATGAAAAACCTCTTTGAAACATCTGAAACATAAAAACAGACTCCCAAAACAAGCAAGTTATTAAGTGAGGTACTTTTTCACTACTCAGCAGAATTACACAAACCTGCTATAAAAATGCCCATGCTAGCAAGGGCAAGCCAAGCCAGATCAGGGTGCGGCGCTTCACTGACTGTGCCTTCAGCTCCCATGAACGCGCTCACCAGTGAGGAGTTACCTTGCTTCACTGTGGACAGCTTGAAGTAGACACCTAACGCTGCTTCACTCACACACATGGCGATACCTGTGGCGCAAACAAATAGACAATATAATGACTAAAGATCTGTGAATATGGTAAATTCTATGTTTCTGATTTTTGTTAGGCAGTGTAAAGGTATTATAGGACGTATCACAAGGGAACAACACAAGGGAAGTGCTTACCTGATAAAATGAGGAGGACCTTCCTTCCAGCTCGATCCATTATTATAGCTGCAACTGCTGTGAAGACCACTTGAGTGGCAGCCACAACGACAGTGGCGATATTGCCATTCTGAGACACAACAACAAACATTTTAATATAACAAATGTTTTGCAGACACAGTTTTTCCTGCACACTAAATTAGACAAAGACCAACAGTTGTTTGGTTTGTTGAGGTATGTATTAAACCTGGTATGTGGTTTGACCAATACAGATTTAGATGTCTTAATACCATATCAAAAAGAAATGTCCTACCTTGAAGTGCGCTTGCTCAAATATATTCTCTGCATAGAACATGATGGCATTGATGCCAGTGAACTGCTGTAACAGCATCATCATGATGCCAACTCCTAAAGGCTTATACACTCCAGGGTCTTTCAGATCAGCCAAACTGAAGTTTGCTTCCTGTAATTAAATTGCATTCATTACACTAAACTTAAATCCAGAGCAGCAACACATGCATACAATACAGGAACATGTTTATACGATATGCAGACACCTTAATTTCACCTTACACAATATATGTCTCAGAATAGGAACCAATTTACCTTTTTAAATAGCTTAATTATACATCTTGACTTCTTTTGAAACATTTCATTTTCACTGCTAATTCTCAAGTTAGAAACATAACTGCAAAAGTTTTGATGATGAATCAGCTACATTAAATTCATCCTCATAAAAGTGTCTTCCTTGGTATGAAGAATACGTTTTGCATAAATAATAGTATGACAGTTTTTCCCTCCAAACTGCTGTTAAAAGTACATATTGAAAACTTTTTTACTCATAGGTGAAAGGTTTGAGTGCTGATATCACAACAAGAGGATAAAATGCAAAATGTGTTGGGTTCAGCATTATTTCCATATTTACTGATCTTCTAAGTGTAAATAATTTAACACATTCTGAACTTTAATGTGGCATTTTCTGCACAATTTCTATATTTATTTGCTGAATTTAACATACTGGAAAAAAAATGAAACATAACATAAAAGTGTGCCATAGCTCTTGAATAGACCAATTTTAGACTATGCAAATAAACAGTAATTGTGTATGAAAATATACAGAAGAATATTCTCTGTAGATAATGTGTACGTATTTCCACTTAGAAAATCAGCAAAACGTAATTTGACAAGGGGAGCCCAAGTTTTTATAAACTTCTTTAACTGTACAAGCTTTCGACAGGCAGTGTTCATCATGCAGATTCATCAAAGCCTACCTCATCTCGAGATGCCTCCTCTATCTTGGTACACTCCCACTCTGCTGGAGCATTGGGTCCTCTGAGGAAACGCAGTGCCTCCTCAGCCTCCCTCCTCTTCCCCCGAGACAGGAGGTAGCGGGGGGTTTCCGGCATAAAGCACATGAACACCAGCATCAGGGTCGGGGGAATGGAGCAGGTGATGGCCAGCCAGCGCCAGTCCAGGAACAGACCTGACAGAGCAACACAGTCAACTGTTTAGAGCCTATTAGAAACACATTCTTCAACTGGATCAAAACACTTCATTTAGATATATTCAAAATATCAACTTTGAATGAATAACATAACAAATGCACAGTATGCTGGTTGTTATGCTGGAGATTCTTTTCATTTAGCCAAAATCCATGTACTCAGACTGTCACTTACAACAGTTTCCTTAAGCATGTGGCTAGATGACATGACGTATTGAAAAACATATCTGACAAGAGCTACTGCATTCCAGAACTAGCTCAGTCTATTTCGTTAGTGACATGTGGACGACCTTAAAAAATGAGTTCTTTTATCTTTAAATAGGACAGTCTTTGGCAAAATCTGTGGTACGAGATGCACAGCCTGTCAGACTACAACTCTATTACCATGGACAAAGGACAACAGTCTAAACAGACAAATGAAGAATGAACAGTGCTGTGCAGAAGTTATAAACCACCCTTTGTTTATATAATTTTCAGCAGAAATGGCTATTTTCAACATCAGGAAAAAGCAAAAAACATATTTTTTAAGAAAATGACAGTAGATTCAACAACTAAATATAATATCAAATATTTCAGTGTTTAGTGCATCCACTCTTTGCCTTCATTATAGTTTCCATTCTTTTTCGGAGATTTTCTTTCAGTTTTTCAAACAAATCTGCAGGGATATTTTTCCACACCTCCAAAGTTCAGACTTAGAAGTTTCCTTAAGCACTAGACTGTTTAGACTGATACAAACCTGTTCCAAGGTTTGCAGGTCAGTTTTAGAAAGATATTTTTACAACAGCTTAAAAGAAGAGTATGGAAAGATTGGCGTGCAGTATTTTGTCTGATCTATCACATGTGCTTTTGTGAATACAACATTTTGCCTTTACACTGATGTTAGAGCAGGGGTGCACAACTCTGGTCCTGGGGGAGCAGTGTCCAGCACAGTTTGGTAGTTTCCCTACTCAAACACACCCACTGGCAGTTAAGTGTAATCAGGTGTGTGTGTGTGCTGGACAACCCGTTGTGCACTCTGGTTTTAGAGTACTGAAGTTAAGACCTCAGTCAGTTTTGATACTCATGTGGCTGTTATGGTGCCACTGTGATGCAAGACAAAGTGTATCATATGGTAAAAAAACTGCCATTGTTAGGAGTCCCATTTTCTCTAGACCTCATAATAATATTTTGAACTCAAGTTTTGGAAACTCTTTTTTTGCACTTTTTTACTTTGACTTTCTTTCTCTTTCCTTATGCAACAGAATTATCTTATATTTAATTATCTCAAAAATATCTCCTAAAAATTGAAAAAACACTTGAACTTAATGACTGCTTGGACTCAAAATTAAAGAAAGAAAGGGACATCGCTGACTTCTGCACTGTTGTAGGTCAAGAATTTTTGACATATTCAACAATTAGAGCACATCCTACTCCAGCAAATGTTACTAGACTGGACTGTGATGGTTTAGACTATTAGCATTCATGATGAACGCTACTGTAGTGACAGGGGCTTTCAATGGCAGATTACATTACTTCTTTGTGACACATACAGAACTAAACTGAATTAATTTTCTTAGTTTTTTTATTGATTTGATTACTTGTCTATTCCATTAGGTCATTAGGCTGTCTGTCACAAATCAGAAGACATACTGTTCACTGACATCACTCTAAGAACGATTCCTTTTGTAAATATATGAATGAAGTAGTGTAAAAAAAAATGCTACCAGCTATGTAGGCTCCCATGATTCCTGTGACTACCATGAGCTGCACACAGGACCCCATTGTTCCTCTTACGCGCTCATGAGCCATTTCTGAGATGTAGAGCTAGAGCAACAAAAAAGAAGCAAATGCTGAGAATTAAACATTAAAGGCATACTTCACCCAAAAGCACAGCTAACTTTAAGGATTAATTACCATGGTCATTTGCACAACTCTTTTAGCTGCCATTCAGTATTAACAACATGAATGCAAGGTCACAAGTACAGCATTTTGATTTCAGAGATTTTATAAGGCTATAATCCAACAGTCCACAATGCAGTGCTCATGAAAGAATATGCAATGCAGCTTGCCATCTTTCAGCTTGAGATTCTGTTGTTACTGTTCAATACTTTGAAATCAAAATACTGATCTTGACATTCTAGAGAAGTCAATACATTTAAAAGCTTTTTAAGTGATTCATTTGGAAGGGAGTCGCTTTACAATGTGTACAGTGTCCTCCAGTACAAGCAAACAAGTACGTTTGTGGGACATACTAATAATTCACTCACATATTTAACTGCTTTTATTTTTTGATTTTCAGAACGTCACTTAGCAGAATTCTAGTCTTGTACTAAGAGTAGCCTCAAGCAGTAAGATAAAACCATTAGTCTCACAATATAATGTCTTTTAGCCATGCTTAAATATTGCCATCCAACTGATCTAAGCGTAAAATAGCTATAACATGGGCTCACTTACAGGCACAACAAGAGATGTCACTCCACTGGCCAGACCAGTAAGCACTCTTCCCGTATACAGCATCCAGTGGTTCTGAGCAGCAATGATGATGGTAAACCCAAAGATGAAGGGCAAAGCACAGAACATGAGGCTCAGCTTCCGTCCAATCTTTTCCACAATCCATCCTCCCAGCAGACCTCCAACACCCGCTCCAATCGTCACCACAGACTGCAAAAGACATATTATGCTGGACAGTGAAAGTGCTCTTTTGAAGTGACGCAGAAGCAACCAGTTTTCCAGCTCCCATTTTAACACTTGACCTGAGCACAGGTTTTAAAGACCTTCCTCAAAAAGGTGGAAGTTCTTTGGTGGGCAGTCTAGTTAACAGAGCTTAAATTAGATTAATGCCTTATCAAAGCTTGAAAACTTTGTGACTATTCAACTTACAATGTGTATCTTCACTTCACAGAATCAGTGGAAAGTTCTTACCCCAAACCAAGAAGCCTCTTCAGCGCTGAGCCTCAGTCTTTGATCAGTGCTTCTTTGTAAGTCTGGTATGGCAGGGGAACTGTAGCCAAGTACGAAACCAAAACTGAGAGGACCCAGAACGGCTGCAAAGGTGGCCAGGTACAACTTCCCATTCCTTACTTTGCTGAAGAACAAAAAGCCACAAATAGTTTCAGCTTGTCACGAGTTGTAGACCTATTCAATTATTTATACTCTAAGACAAAGGCTGCTGACTACCATTGTAAATATCTAAATAGTTTGCCAAAATAATACACCACCATTAGTAGTGCTTTCATTACTATAGCACAGGGGCACTCAATCCTGGTCCTGGACATCTACAATCTCAAAAAAGGTACTAAACTGCCACAGGGGTAGTTATGGAACATAATTTCACCATAATCTATTGCAATTCATATTTATTTCTAAATTGTATTGACTCCACACCTTCTGTCTTTACTCCAGGCTTTTCATCTTATTGTTCTATACTGAAACTTTATGTTACGAAAATGTACAAACCTTTACCTTTCCCCTGGGGAAAACATTTTGAAGGTACACAATTTGACCTTAAAACTTTATTCTTATACCTTTGAGGGTTCGTTTAAATTGTTTGTACCTTGATAAACAAAAATGTACCTGCACAATACCTTCTTTTCTGACAGTGTACCACCCTGGAGAGTTTAGATCCAACAAACCTGGCTCTTATGTTGAGATGCCCCTAAAGCCTTCATTACCTGGATCAGCTGGGTTAGATTAGGGTTGGAGCTAAACCCTGCAGTGTGGTAGGTTTCCAGGAGGAGTGGACACCCCTGGTATAGCATGTGCAGTGTGTTACTAACGTTATGTGCTTTTAGACGAAAGTTGTGTAACCTGAAGATTCTCAGTGTTCTCAGTGGAAGGTTTTGATTCAGTGAATGAATAAATGAGCAGTTCAGGAACCTATTGCTGTTTTAAATCACCTGAAAGCTGTATGACTTACTCCAAATAGGCGTCCTGCTCTGACCGGTCCTCCTCTGGTCTTTGCCCATGACTCTCTGCCAGCAGTGGTCTCGACTCCTCTTCATGATTCATTGCAGGCTTCTTTCTAATCTTATGAAGCGGTCAACCAAACAGGATAAGCAACGACAAACCGTCTTATTTTCTTAGACTACTTCTAAAATCGAGTGCATAACTTTTAGCCACAACGTTCAAGCACGTTCGCCCGAACATGCCGTGTGCAACTGCCAAAAGCAGAAATCCAGAGCGCACAAACAGCTCGTATTGTTGTCAGCTGATGTACACACTGCTAACAATAAAGTCATATCCGCCATAGCTTTCAAAATAAAAGTCACTTTGCTTGTCATGTACATACTATTACATTCTGAACTGCCGTTTACCGTTTTCAAATACATCTATATTTCAAAAACATCAATAAAGAGATATTTTTTTATTATTTATACTTTTTAAACCTCAAATTCAAGTGGGAGATATGGTATCTCGTGTGGTACATTAAAGCGAAAACACACTTTCCATTCCAGTTCCCGGATTGGCGTTTCCATAGTTACTTTGATTACTTCGTGTAGTGTTTCAGACAGTTGGTTGTTGGTGGATTTGATTTTGACAAAATGTGATTTATAATTTTGGTGTGTAAGGCATACATCTTTTTATCCTCTTTTTTGAAAGGACTTTTTACAAGAAGATTTCTGAAGACCGAGAAATCTATTAATGAAGCGAGTGCTGAAGTCAACATGAGCGCACAAAAGTTTTCTGAGGTAAAATAAATAACGTTGATAAATAATTAAAAAAAAACGTATTATTCCTCACTATTTAACTGACAATGGCCAGACAGGTAGGTTAGATTAGTCCATCATATTAGGTATAATGCGGTATAAATGTGTTTCCCCAATAGAAATAAAGGGCTTTATGCTGTAGGTCTAATGCTGCTGTAGCTGAGTTCATGAGGTTCAGTCGGCTCTTTAGAAACTTGTTCTTAAGCAGAGGTTCACAATCCCCCAAACGGAAAAGAAATACAACGGTGTTTTAAGTACATTAAACAAAACATTTTGGCAATTTTCATACATTTTATACATTTGACAAACATAATTTGATCATTGCTGTCAGAACAAAACTCTTTTTACCTGTTTTACCGTACTTTGAAAACGCCAGCTGCCATTTACATGGTGTCAAAAAATTATGATGAATGGAATTAAAAATGGTCAAAAAGTGCTTACTTGCGTCGTGTAGAAATTGGGGTGGGGGGGGTCGAGATTTATGCTTAAAAATACTCTTTTATTTAGAACAAGGCAGAAACGTCACTGAAAATACAGCATCATAAACGAGGAAGGTCACCAAAAGCCGTACACTGTCTCCTCACGGTGACGCATATAACTTTCATACTTTTATTCACACTAAACTTTGATTTGTTATGGTTTTGTTAAGAATCAGTGACATTAAATTTAATATGATTTCACATGATAAAAATTGATTTTTTAAACCATGTTGAGCGTTCCTTCATATTTATGTTTTAGGCAAACACAGAGACTGGACGACATGTAAAAAAATCTGATACGGACATTAATGGGTTAATCCAGCGCATCAGCTGCAGTACTCTGACACAGCCCGCGCGCACCATCACGTTCTCATTTCAAATTCAAAATTCAGAATTTAACGGTTGAGCCTGATCCACGGGTTGTTTGAAAGTTGAGAGTGGAAAATAGTGTAACTGTCAGTTCTGTTAGCTGTTATTTTTCTAAATAATATCCTAACACTCGTTATTATTGTTAACCCAAATATAATTGGGTATTTGACTTAAGTAGTCATCATTTGCCTGCTGTTGATTTCAGTTGAAGCTTTAGCAGGTTAGCTAGCGCACACTAGCCAACTGTCCCAGCTTTGTCGCACGATGAGACGGTTTAACATCGACACGAATACTTCTTTTTCTTTAGGTGTTTGAGCACTGCAGAATTCTGTGATATAGCGAGTAAGTCTTAGATAATGAGTGTTATTTCACTTGGTAACAGCTAATTTAACAAAGTAACATAGCCTAGATTGTTTCATCGCCGGCCTTAGCTGGTGTCTGGTGCTGTAATAGCAGTGTTAAAGAATCCGGAAGACCTTTAGCTAATGTTACTGCGTGGAATGTCTAGGATGACGTGAAGTAAAGAAAGTTAGCTTGTTATTGGATGTAGGACACGCGGGACATTAAACATGAAAAAAGTCTTAATACATGACAGTGGATTAATTTTGGCCCATGTGGCAAAGTTAGGGATTTTTAGTGAACAATATTTTTGCAAGGGGAACACTTTTGGCAGAGGCTTGTTGAGTCTCTGAAATTGGAGCTCCAAACTGAGTCCTTATTTTGTCTGTGAAGTGAATGAAAATGCTGTATTCAAAGTCATTGCATGTAATGTTCACTTGAATCTGTGCACATTGGCTTTGTGATGGTCCTGCAAAGGCCTGATAATTGTCACAGTGCAATGATAGGTAAAATAGTAATTTCTACAGAAGCCCTAAAGAGCTATGGATTTGCACTGTTTTGGCTGTTTTTGAGTGATAAAGTGTTATTTTCATTTGTTTTCTCGAGATATTGAGTTATTTATATCATTTCATGACATAAATGTTTTCTTGAGATATTATGCCATTCTCATGATTGTCGTGATAATGACATGAACATCACAAGATCTCAAGAAAGCATATTAAAATAACTCGTTATCATGGAGTAAAAACATGCTAATCCATGGTCCTTTAGGGCTTCTGTGCATTGCTACTGTGGACCGACAGCTGCTCTAAATGTATCTTGCTAAGTGTACCACTGTCTTTGAGGAACTGTACTTTGTTCTTCACTCACCCGTTCTGTTGTGAGAAGGAATGACAGGAAAGCTACATTTGACTATGATACCTGTTACTAATGTTCTCAACTTAGTGTAGATCATCTACTGAAAGGTGCATTTCTTTTAGTGTATCGATATATATCATTATAGCTACGTCTAACAAGCGTCATCACTGTTGAAGGATGGGCTCTACGTTTTCTTTAATCATAGAGCAAAAACAGTCAGGTCAAACAGAAAGGCTTTGTGTAATGTACCCCACCTCCCACCCCCAACCTAAGTGTTTGTCATGAAAACCAGCCTGCCCCTGAAATATACCTTTATAAGTTTAATTGCAACTGAGTGTGAAGGTTTTGCTTTTTGCGCTTTTTCTTTCCAGCCCAAAATGTCATACCCATGATATAAAAACCTCATTAAATAACGTGAAGTAACACTGTCATGTCTGTGTTCCGCAAGGTGGACACCTATAGGTCAGACTTAAAGAACACATCCCAAGAGGCCGCAATACAGAAATTATTTGGTTCCAGCAGCATTTTCCTCACCCCAGAGTTAAAACGTGACAGACCAGAGTTACAAGGCATCCTTGTAATAAAGGAGAAAGCAAACACACAGTAAGGTTTTGTTTTCAAAGACATTTTATTGATTCTAGCATATATAAATATACTGTCCTGGCTCGTGATGTGTGTTTTTAGTTATCAAGCAGGCAAGGAGGCTGTGATACAGTTACAGTTTGAGAGGGCTGTCAGTTGTTTCTCCAAAGCCATAACGCTGCAACCAGATCAGGTAGGAGAAAATGTTTTAATATGGAAAATATAATAATATTCTGTTGTAATACAGAAAGACATACACTACTGCTTAAAAATTTAGAATCAGTATTATCTATAAATTATGAAACACTTTTGGTTGAAGTTACATTGCAGATATATGCAATAAATCTCCTGCGCAACTTAAGAGGTTTCAAATAATTTAGTATGATTCTAGGACAGTGTAAGAAAACATTTAAATGTGTCCATAATAATTAAAAGAGCTTTACAATATTCTAAAATGACTGACAGAGCTGCATAATAATAAAATTAATATCCAGTCTCTTATCACTGCAGACTCAGCTCTATGTAGAGAGGGCAGAGGTGTACCTTCAGCTGTGTGACTTCAATTCTGCAGCCCTAGACTACAAACATGCCTGCTACTTGGAACCACAGACCAAGACCCATTTTCATCGCCTTGCATTCATTTATTACTTGAAGGTAACTACGATTGATTGGTCTGATCCAGTTTTTCCATATACATATAAATCAGCATATACAGACACAAGCAGTATATATTGAGAGAAAGCAGATCTTAGAACTCCAATGATGCTGTGAGATATTGTATACCTGATCAAGCACAGGCTCAATGACCACAGCCTGGCCATTGAAAAAGGCAGGTATAAAAAGTCCTGGCTGCCCAGAGAGTAGAGGCTGTGTGGTCACTGTGTGACAAGTGAGGTCGAGACAGATGTGCTTTTCTTTCTGACTGCAAAAAATTCAGACCAGCATGAGAAATTCAACCAACAGGTCACAAATTTTGAGAAATGTACACAATTGGAAAAATTACAAATCATTCTTGAAGAGGGGCACACAGACCCCCAACAACTACACAACATATTACAAACATATAATTAGTTTGTTAATGATTTTTTATTAAAACGATAATAACAATAATGTTATTATTGTAATCATAGTCATTTAGTTATTATTTGTTTTAGTTCTTGCAGTTTTTCATTTTTCTTACTACTGTCATAATGCTTTGGCAGTATTGTACTTCACACAGCTAATAATGTTATTCTGGATTGAGAATTGTATACAGGTCCCAACAGCAGGCTTACTGTTGTGTAAACTAGTCCATGATATGTTTTTGGATGGGTAAGCTTGGTTTCATTATGTTATTTCTTTATACAACAAGGGACAGTGTCTGTGTGACCAGGGTATGTTCTTGGATGCGTTGGAGTCTTTTGCCAAAGCGACTGAACTGAAGCCCAACTTTAAACCTTATCACATGAGAAGGTCAGTTCAAACCTGGCACATTAGAGGCCACCAAGAACACCTGTGGTTATTTAACCTATTCTAGCCTCTATGGTCTTGTATATATTTTAAAGTTAATGATCACTTATAGAAGTTACAAATTACTGTATGCTTCTGAGTTATGTCATTTTACTTTGTCATAATGTATATCTGCTATCTACCAGCAGAGGGTGCTGTGCCTTTATTCAATACAATTATAGTTCCTCCATTTATCCCTGTGGATAATAAAGCGAATAGTATGTATATCAAAACAGGGAAGATTCACTAAACCTGCTTTGACGCAAATAGGTCCTGGTCGTATATAGGAGTAATAACTGATGTTTGGTATATCTGGTATTTTTATGTGTATATTTTAATCAGAATGAACCAGCATATCATTACTGTCGGGACAAAAAATTATCCATTTTTGTTGTTGTTCATATTTTGACATAATTTAAAATTGTCAGCGTCCCTTTACATTCAGTGTCAGAATTTCATATAAAGGGATCAAAGAAAAAGGGTTCAAAACTGCTTGGAATAAATAATTTCTACACTAACTAACATTGAAAGATAAAAACATTTTTTTTTTTCCTGGAAAGTTATCTTTTTCTGAGATTTTTTGCTCTGACATTAATGATGATTTGTGTGATATGTAATTGTAGAATTCCGTGTTCTCTCTCCATAGCTTGGCATGTCTGAGCGCACTAGGTCGTTATTCCGACTGCATTCGGCTGGTAACTAACTGGCTAAAGACAGACGCTCCATCGGCTGATCTCTTCACTCTCAGAGCCCGCTTGTACCACCAAATCAATCAGGTTAACTCTGATTGTAGTTACCTAAAACTGACTTACTAAAAATGATGGAAAAAATAGTTGGAACAATAACTTTTGATTGCAAAAGCCTCTCTGTTACTTTGCTCATTTGAATATTCGTGTTCCTCTTCAGGCTGCACTGTGTTACTATGACCTAAAGGCCGCTCTGAGGCTCAACCCCAGTTGTGCAGATGCGTTGTCCTTGCTGGAGGAGATGAAGGAGGCAGCAGAGTGTTCTCAACAGCAAGCAGTGTCTAAAGCGGTGGAGGGAGAGCTGACTGACGCTCTGAGCAAGATTACCACAGCTGTAGAGAAGAACCCTGAAAAGGCTCAGTATTACCTCTTTAGGTGAGGTATAACGACATGTTTTTGGGTGATGTAGTTTCTGAACATGCTAAATGTTTAGTGGGAATGCATTATGGTGCATGCTATTAAACTCTTGATCCTTAATGGGTAGTGTTAAAATGAAGTCTTATTATTCAGAAACTAAGGGGATCAGTTAACCCCCAGTTAGTCCACCTAAATCTAAATAAACATGTTTTTCATATGTTTATTTTCCATTTTTAACAATGTATATTATGACAAAATAAAAGATTAATCTCTCTTCTTAACATAGTCAGGCAAGTTTTATATGATTTGTTGAAACGATAATGAGATAAAAAAAGCAGCCTCTTGAACACTTTAAGCTCACATGTGTTTCCAATAGACCTAGTCGTAGTTTTATTTTGGAAAAATGGTTAATTTTATTAACCCCTTAGCTCAACTAGTTTGCAATGGAGTCCCTGTAGTTACTGAATAATAAGTCTTAGTATGAAATAAGCCTGGAATTTTAAGGGGTTAATTGATAGTTGATTGGTATTAACAACATAAAAAGTAGAATGTCTAGTAACAAACATTTAAACTGTGAGCCATTGTTAATTTATGTAAATTTGAAATGTGAATTTCAGCATTGCACTTAAGCTGGACCTGGTACGTATAACTTGACTAGTTGACTAATTGTAAATATTTTTTTTTCCTACAATGGTTGAGATATTTCTGCTAATGGAATTTGGACCTTGTAGTTAGTGAGTCTCTATATCAGCAATCTCCTGTTTACCTGAACGTGTTATTCATGTGTATCGGTTGTGCACTGGGTACTGAAGAGCAAAGCAGATGCAACACAAAAAAAATTTCTGTGTGTGCACTTCAAAAAACATAAAGATGATTGCTGGACGGAGGAATGTAAACTCTGCAAATGGCATTTGACTTAAAATACAACTTTGATTTGATTGTAGGCTTAAGTTCCATTTCTTTTGCACCTTCTATAGTCCAGTTTTTAGCTGAGGACAACTCTAAAACAATCACTTTAAGAACAATCAAACTGTGGAACAGTATGAGAAAAAAAAACTCAAGATGTTATATTTTGAATTTATATTTTAACAGAGAAACAATAAACAGACTAGGTATAACATACTGTAATTCCTTTTTTCCTACCAGTGCTCAGTACCTGTATATTGACACATGCCATACAAATGTTTAGTGGGCTTATTGGGTCCAGCAGTATCAGTTAAGAATTTACACATTTTCTGTAATTACACACACACAGACAAAAACAAAAAGACAATGAAATCAAACATTTTATTGTTTACAATACAAATGTGCATTGATAGGTCAGTTACCCTTGTCTACCCTTAAAGCCCATCGTCTAAGTAATTGTTAATTTTAAAACACAAATAAATAGCAGAAATCTTTGTACATTGAATCAAATAACTAATATCAGTTAAATCAGTATCAGTAAATACAGAACTGAAAAGTTTATGATGAGTTTTTGAGTATTTACTTTTAAGTAATAGCCCAAACTTTTAGGCTTCCATTGACTGTGTGATTTCTGACTTTAGCTGCCTCAAAAGATGTTTGTTTACTGGATGAGACTGATGTTTCTGACTGCTCTACTTTTGTAATTATTTCACATTAAAAGTGCAAGTGAGCTTATAAGGTATATTGGCTGATTGGGGGCTTATGTTTTGTGCATGCAAGCATTATAACATCATAATCTTTATCAGTATTTTCAATACCTTATATTATTCTTGGAAATCTGTATCTCCACAGAGGGATACTCTACCGCAGACTGAAAGACTTCATCGCTGCCATAGAGGACTTGGTACTTGCCGTTGAACTCAGTGATGCTGGAGCAGAATGTTGTGAAAGAGAGAAGCCTGATAACTCCAACAGTCTGGAAGAAGATGCACAAGCCCAACTGGTGCTCACTTACAATGATTTTGCAGTCCACTGCTTCTCCCAGGGCTTCTACAGTGAGGCCATCATGCTTCTGACTAAGGCCATCCATGAGCAAAGAGATGAAAGTGGGCTCTTCATCAACAGAGGCGGTATGAGGCTGTATTCACTCAAGTGGATCTCACTTTATGTACAGTGTGAAGGAAGGACAGAGAGGTTTTAGACATTATACATTGACTACAGAGTAGATGTTTTTGTGCCAATATTGTTGAATTAGAACAAAAGTAAAAGGATCATTATGTATAGCAGAGATTTGTTTGTGCATGCCATCCACGTGTTGGCTTCATGGTTTTTAGATTGTTTTTTGAAGCAAGAGGAGTGGCTCTTTGCCCTGGCTGACTACCAGCAAGCTGAGGAGCTGGACCCCCAAAACAGAAGCATTTGGTTTCGTCTGGCCTTAATTCACAACACACTGGGACTGCACTGTTTTGGCAAACTGTAAGTTTCACTTATCAAAATGCATCTCAATTGTAGTGATATCAGGTTTATAGTTGTTTTTTTGGTGTTGTTTATGACACTGAGATATGTTGTATAATTCACAATCTGAAGGAACTTCCAGGATGCGGCAGACAAGTTTTCCCTGGCCATTAGGTACAACCCTGGGGTAGCTCAGTATTATGGAAATCGGGCTAAGGCCCAAACCAGAATGCACAAAATGGAGGAAGCCAAGCTGGATGCCCTCAGTGCTCTCATTTTAGGTCCCACTAATGATGAGGCAAGTTCACCTTCTTCCGTTCGTGGCCAATCAAAGTACCCTCAAAGTGAAGGACCAGCTAAATTCAAAATCTACAGTGCTATCATTGTCTACTTACATATTTTATTGTTTTGGCTCTGTGCTCCACACTGGATTTTGATTAAAATGCAGAATGTTAGCTTTAATTTAAATGTTTTAGTGTTAACTACATAGAAATCACAGTCCTTTTTTATAAACAGTCCCCTTATTTAAAGGGCTTTTATACAACAGTTAGTTCTGGCCACGCAAGCTGATTGGTTGAGAAGCGTTCTAACTGTGCTGTTATTTTGCCATAACATCATGGGTTTTCCCCAGCCCTGTATCACTCAGCTGAGACGCCGTTGCTAAGCAGCGACTTTGACAGCTGTAGGAGACGCTCAAACCATTTGAACGTTTTTACTTCTTACTTTGCGCACAAACAGAAAATGGACACTTTTAAGATTACATTTGACCTAGATCCGATTTAGTCAGACTCTGAAGATGAGACTACACTAAATTCCGAAACTGTCAGTTGGTCTGTGTAAGGAGCTGGAGAACGAACTGCTGGCTGTGCAGCAAATGAATGGAGCTCATTACTCTGACGTAGCAACAAGCTGCTTGTTAAGGAACTATAATTTGGCGGAAGGAATTGCGAACATTAAAACATATTAAATGCCATGTTCATGGCCCAATTTATTTATTTATTACTTCATCTATTTAACTGTTGTATTAAAGCAAAAGAGCACTCGAGGTTGTGTATTATCGTGAATAACATCACGGCTCTGATAATCTAGGGCACCCGCCTTCGGCTCGTGCCTGTGACCAAATCACAGCTGTGTTGCTCTCGTGTTCAATTGCTTAAAGATAGTATTACCACCACAGTTAAATTAGTACCTGGTTGCAAGTCAGCAAATCATAAACATCACTGGATGCTGGGTATCCTCCCTGGTGATGCTGTGCCAGACCTTCAATGCAGCCATTTTCAGTTCCTGCTTGTTATTTATTTATTTATTTTTTTTTGTGCCTTCGGTCTTATCTGTACTGAGTGAAACTGACGCTCAATGGGGTTCATGTTAGGCAACCAACTTAATTAGCTAAAGAATATCCCACTTTCTGCTGGCAGAAAGTCTATACATCTGCACAATACTGTCACATACAGCAACTTGTAGAATCGATACACAGACAAATGCTGTTTGAATCCAGCCAAATGCTGTGTTCAAGGCCAAAGGAGGTGCTACACTAATAAATGTGTGTACTTGACACAGACAGTGCTCTGAATGCCTACCTTATCCATGTCATATGTGTATCGTGTATTATATTACATATGTATTATTCTTAATGTTTGTGGTCAGTTGGTCCCTCTGCTGCTGAGGCTGTTCCCAGGCTGCTCTTTGTCAGATGTCATATCCAGTGCCACTGCTCAAACAGTCAAAGCTCAGTTGATGGAGCGGACCCAGATGTGGAAACTTGCTGGCCGTCTTACGTCAAGGTGGAAAAAGAATTCCTTCGTCACACTAGTATATTCACACATAACTCACAGGGTTGTTATTGTATTTTGTAGCATAATTCAGTCTAGTTACCTGTATTTGCTGTCTTCTGTCTCTGCTTTTTTTAGGCTTTCAGACAAGCTTCAGAGAATGGCCCTCCAGCATGACACAGACAGCCAGTCTGAAACAGCCTCTCAAAGCTCATTAAGTGTGGAGAATGTGGAAACAAAACTTAAACCCTGTGTATCTCCCCAAGACCTGCTCAGCAGCAAGGAACAGGTACACAGGCTGGATGACCAGCTGCTGCTCTAAAAGAAACACTCCTTTTCTGCCTGCTAGTAATGGCATTTAGTAAACTCGCTTTGCCTGAGCACAGTAACACAGCAGTGTCATCTAGTTATGACATAAAAGACTTCCCTTCCTTCTAGCATTTGCCATACTATTGAAAAGTGAGAACTTTAACTTTAACTGCAGGATTTTTATTCAGGTTATTAATCTGAAAGGGGCCAATATGTTATATAAATATTTATTTATATATAAATTTTTTTGTGATTTATTTTGTCAAAGTTACACTAGTAGCATGCATTAGCAACTCATCTAAAGAGAACAAGAGAATCTGCCAGGATGTCTGTCAGAAAACATTTTTCATGTTAGTAAAATGGACTCCTCAAAGCAGGTGGTTCTTGGCCACACTGAGTGATGAAACCCCCTCAGATGTTTGCCAGTAGTCTGTTTTAGAGCTGTTTTGGAGCTTAAGAGCTTTTACAGCATTAATCTGTTTAAGATCTAATATAAGATGATATCAGTTTTAATCACCTGGTACAGTCCAAATTAGTTTCCTAGCGCTCCCAATTGCTGGACAGTTAGCGTGCTCTTGTGGCATTTGTTTCTGAGAATGAAATCATTCTGGCTAGCATGCTGTCCAGATGGGTAAGAAACTTATTCAGATTGCACCAGGCATTAAGACTGATACAACTAAGTTTAGCTTGGGTATAAAGTGGTTTTAAGCATATATAATGAAGAGCAATACACACTGATAGTAGTAAATAATTGTACTATTTGTTGTTAAAAATAATAATAATAATAATAATAATAATAATAAAAAATAACAGTAAGAATTTTGAAGCCTGTTTTTTTCATTCAGTCATTGAAGTGAAACTTGTGTCTTCAGCTGTTCTTATCTTTATGGAATGTTCAAATATTCAATTTAAAAAATATTACAATATTACATTTTTTTATAGTAAACCATTTGTCATGAAATTTTAACCCAACGTACATAAAACTCTTATTTAACACTTTGAAACTAACATGTAAGTTATATAGTTCTGTGCTCAAGGAATCTGAAGTATGGGTCCACTTATAGGCTCATGCTTTTTAAGGGTTTACTCAAAAAATCCTGTGCATTATAAATGGCTGTGCTGTTTATAGCTTCACTCTACAGTGTTTAGTATTTCTTTAAAACTTACTAGATGCAGCAAGCTCCATCCTAATGATCTCTCTGCTTCAGGTCAAACTCAAATCATTATATACAGTTTTTTTCCTTTTATTCATGGAACAGCTCTGTTTTGTAGGGCTGTTCTCTACATACACTGGAGGTAACTGTCTTGTATTGTCTGTACCAGGTGATCCAGGCAGTGAAGAAGGTCCTGCATCAGAGGCAGTCTCTGTATCACACCGGACCCCGTCTTTCTCCACTTTGCCTTGCAGACGCCTCAGAGGCTGCTCTCTGTGCTGCCAAGCATCCATATGCATGGAGGAATTTCAGAGGCTTAGGCCTTAACTGTTAATGACTTGTCAGAATGACTCTGTAGCAATCAAGCTGCAAAACCCTGCATATAATGACTTGAGTTTGACCCAAAGCAGATTAATCACTAAGACGGAGTTTGTTGAATCTCGCTATTCTTAAAGAAACTGAGATCTTTGTAGAGTGCAGGAACGTAATAATACTCTGAAACATATTTACAGGAAAGCTATAGCATTTTTAGTAGGACTACTAAAAATATGTAACTTGTAGAAGATTTAGAAATAAACCCACAATTTTCTGAGCATTAATTTTGCTCAACTTAGGGATACATGTCTAGAGGGGTAGTTTATCATTAAAAGACAAGAATTGTAGAGTTGAATTCATTATATTTCAGTTTAGTGATTAGAGATATCAAAAAATATTACTTATATGCCAAAAAACTAACAGTGCAGTACTTTCTACAGTATTGCTAGTACAGAGTCAAAATTGGTTCCACATTTTTGTGTTACTGCAAGTAGAAGAAACACTTGAGAATGCCTACCAATGTGAGAGCAAAACAATGTGACAATGGCATCTGAATGTGCGGTTGCCACAACAGTATTGCTAAACAGCTCCAATGGAGAGGAAATGCAGCAGAACTCACAAATCGAAACACTCTGCATTCAAGACAGATGATGTAGGCAATGTTGACGATGCACAGAAATGGTCTGTAAATGCGGATTATATTAAGCAAAAAGTAAAGGAGATAACTGTTGAAATTTAGCAACTAAATTTGACAAGTAATTAACAGCTAGCATTAAAAAAGTGTTCTTATCCAGAATTACAAGTTTGCTGTTTATGTTTGAAATTACTGGCATTGCTCTGTTTTACCTAACTGATTCAAGCACTGTAACATCTTTTACTACTCATAAATATAATATTTTTTGGTATTGATTCCTAAAATTCTGATACTGTGACATTTTTGTAGAGATTGAGACCAATATAAATTTGACTTTTGGCAAACCAGCTAATTATTTTTGCACTGCATTGCTAGTATGATTATATAAGGCACAGTGGAACTCTCTAGCATAGGTTTCTCTGTTGAGCAGTGCAGGTAATTTTTAAAGAGTGCTGTTGATGTGAAGACTGAGCTAAATGAAGGAGAGCTGCTACTTAGACACCCCTGAAGTGATAAGTAGTGATCCACAGAGAACATGAGTGCTCTAAATGTTTGTTCAGAGGGAGACAGTTATATAGAAAAATAATGTAGGTTTTTGGGAGATTACTTCTTCATTACATTTGGTCCGTGGCTCAGTATGATTGCAAGAGTGGTTGTTTTGTTCGGAGCAGCTGTTCTTCAGCAGCTGGGAGAGCAGCTGAAAGAGAGAGAGAGAGCCAGAGAAGGAAAGAGAGAGGGATGTGATGCTGTCTAGAAAACACCCCAACAGCTGATCCCAAGTCCCTGTCAGAGATTTCCATACTACCTCACTCAAACAGTGCAACACATACTTTGAGTCTCTAGAGGAGAGTCCTAGACTTTTTGGCACACTAACAATAAAACATCAGACGTCATATGGTGTCTGTAATTCTGATATTTAATGTCTTTGTCCAAAATGATAGCGTACTTCTCTGGAATATGTAGACATTGGTTATAATCTGTAATTGGCCATTCAGTCCAGTCCACAGTCGCTGACCGAAAGGGACTGAACAATTGTGCAACTGTCAGGAGAATAACTACACACTTCATAGACTTTAATTCGTCTTCTGTGTGCAGTAGAGTCAAGAGTCAGTGCTTGTTAAAACGCTCTTATGAACTTTGACCACAGCAGCATAAATCCTAAGAACCATAGCATGAAGCATCATTTTGGTTTTGTTCCATCCTTACTGTCACATCCCAACAAATGTTGCCTCAGTGAAATAGATTTAGGTTGAGAGGAGTATTCTGCAGTGTTCAAAATCTTTAAGACAGGATAGAGGAGTACACATTCAAGTTCATCATAGCTAAACAAGAGTAATCTTGTATGATAGTCAATTAAAGCATGGATGAAAGCTCCTGCTTTTAGGTCTGTAAATTCTGAGAGATATTGCAGTCCATTGCCTTTTCAGTGATCTTGGTCTGCCAGCTCTAGTCTCCATCTTGCGATTTGGGCAGGTGTACCCATCACTTGGCATTAAATTCAAGACTGATTTTGGAATATGGGAATATGAAAAAATTATTGCCCAACATTTGCATGTCTAACTTAGTTTTTTTTTGGGTGATCTGTAGCACCACCTAATGTAGGGACAGTCTGTAAATGAACAGTGATGGGAAATACTGTAGTCCACCAGTGAAAGGATAGCACTTATGAAAAAAGCAGATTTAGGGGCAAAGACATTTAGAGACTGTCAAGTAGCTCCAGACCCTGGTGCCACCCAGTAGTCTCAATAAGCTCGACACAGATTGAACTTTGTGGTGCCGAAGCTTGGTGGAGTTTCCTTAGACAGTGTATGTGTGGGGGCTTAAACCACGAACAAAGTGGTTTCAAACAGACAGAGGCCATAAAGGAGCTCAAAAGTGCTTCACACTAGCGTAATAAAAGTGTCAGGTTACTCTTTTTGGCAGGGGCTGGGACATGCAGCCAGGAGAGACAGGAGCTGGCAGCCTCCCCCCCAGACAAAAACACCTTTCTCTGGGCACAAGAGACGGCGGCCTGGCCCCCTTTCAAAAATTGCTTTGCGGACCAAAATTTCATTCACGTTTGGCAGGAGACTGTTTTGTCTAAAACATGTCGCGTGCATTTGTAATTTTTGGATAGCGTTAGCAGTAGGCTGATGGATCTAGCTTAAATGGATGGAAGCTTGACATTCGATAAAGAGCAAGTCAAGGAAATTGCTGCTAAGGTTTCTTTTCTCTAAACTTTGTGGATTATTCAGATTAATTATCCTGAGCAGTCAAATGATAAAACAAAATACTAAGACAAATTGCAAAAAACATTTTTAATTCAAAATAAACATTTTCATTTCAAACTGTGCATTTTCAGTATAAAAAGATTAATTGTGACAGCACAAACTTAAATAATAGTGTTTTTAAAATAAATAAATATATTTACACAGAATTGCTGGCATATTGGATATGAAAATTCAAGGAAAATATGACCTTTCTCAGTACACTAGAAAAACACACCATTTTCCACCTGCTGCAATATGCATCATAATGATTGTTTGCTTCTTGTTGCTGGAACATTTTAGTTCCTTTTAGCTGCGTTCAGATGGCAAGAATAACATGTTTTTTTACAATCCTGCTATTTTTCAGCATTTTTAACCGCATTTAACGCCCCTTCTTCTCGGAGAAACATAGACGGGTGGTCCCTCTTGAGGTACATCTTAAAAGACAATTTATTCTTTCTGGAGAGATAAAATGTCTGCAATATTTTGCGACTTGCAAACTTTCCAGCTGGAGGTTAGCAGTCTCAGTAACCCTGTGTTTACCTGTTGTAATGCAGTCTTGTCTGACGCGCTTTTGTACATATATGGAGATGGAGCTTTCAGTCCCTTTTCATCCTAAATTTTAGAAGGTCATGGTTTCAGCTTTAAAAAGCGATAACATAGCTATATAAACCATGCGTGTATTGTCCAACACATACTTGGCTTGCCTGAAGGCCATATAACTGTCCTCGCTGTTGGATCTATGGTAGCAGACATCGTTGCCTGTGTTACATGGTGCGTGGCCGCGAGTGATGAAACGGTAGGCCAGGATTGCAGGCCCGCATCCATGGTTTTTGAGCTGTTGTCCAAATGGTCCGAGCTTTCTCCTTTCCTGGAGCTTGTGAAGTCTGTTACCAAACCAACAAACAACCAACATGTTAAGATTATTTAGTTAAAGCTCAATAAATTAACATCTTCTTGGGCACTACTTTATAGCGAGTGACATGCATTCTAGCCCTACCGCTACAAGAAATGAGTGTCATCTTAAAGGGACTTCATACACAGCAGCAGAGAGTGTAGCAGTTGAGTTTGGCAGCGTTGCGGCCCGTCCCCGCGTAGCGGTTCTTCTTGGGAAGTAGCAGTACAAAGGACACAGCCAGTGACAGGTGGTAAAAGCTATGCACATAAGCATAGTCCCACTCCTGCAGGAACAAATGGAGATAATTAACATGCATGTGTACAGTTACTTCATTCACCACTTCAGGTGGTGTCCTTTGATAGACCGATGACAAGTGCCTGTAGCATTTATTACCTCAAAATAGAAGCGAAGCATCAAAGCCAGCGCCCCAAAGCAGCACCCTGGTCCCACTTGTTGAGTGTACACACTTTTGTCTGGATAAAGGCCCTTCTTCTCTTTCATCTTTTGTAACTGGAACAATTAAGTGAACAAGTGAGTTTAGCACTTACATTGTATTTCAGTGCAGATGTAATTATATATCATGAAGACTAACCATTTTCATTCTCATTTTTATTCTCACGCCTTACAGGACAAAAAAAGTATCACTCTTGCAGCTTTTATCACATGATACCGTTTTTCTGAAGCCAAGACCAGCTAATGAGCAGCATCTGCAATTATTCCTCCATCTCTCACCCATTTGACTGTGATCATCAACACAGCTGTGCCGATAGGGCCGGAGTAGATCCCATAGCCCCAACGATCCTGGTATATCCTCACAGCAGAGGTGAGCACTCCAAACATGGTGAGTGTGGAGCGCTTGGGCTCGTCAAAATCCCCCAGTGCTGGATGAGAGTGGAACAGGAGAAAATGAGTACACACTCTTCACACGACATGCTGGAATCCCAGACATAAACAGATGTCATATTGTTAGCATGACTCTCAAAAATTAATATTCAACTGTCTTCTGCAACGACAGTGGTTTGCCACATTCTGGAGAACTGTACAATTCTTGATTTTTATACAGGATTACTGTAGGAACTTTGCATGTGTCCAGTTTCAAGCATCAAGTCTGAATTCAATTCCAATTTTCTGTTTATGTCACTTGAAAAGCTTTAATGTATTTTAATGTATTTTAGGTCATAGTTCATTTTTACTCACCTAATAATGTGACCCATATGGAGACTGATGTACCATAGACACTGAAGTACTCCAAAATCTCATACTTCATGAAGCACAAAACAGACAGGCCTGGTCCATCACACGCATGATAGATCTAAAATATGAACGACAGCACACTACCATTAACCCCTTAAACTCTATGGACCCTTTTGTGGACCCCCACTTTAATTAATTCCTCTTGTAACAACATAATGCCATATTGACACAAATTAAAAAAATTGTTATTGCAAAAAATAGAAAATATAGCAGTGTTTAAGTGGTCTTAATAAGTGCATAATACAGTCTCAATATAAGAATAAAATAGTTAAAAGCTTTTTCATAATATTAAGCAAATTAAAAGAAAATATTACTAAAAGTGACTGTAAAGTTAGCTTTAATGTTCATTAATGTTATACAGCACACAATCCATGCAACACCATATCACAAGCCTCTTACCGATGTGAAGAACATGGTAAAGAAGTAGACCATGGCCTCCATGTGAAAACCTCTCTTGGTGGCGACACTGGCTGCTGGCAGAAACACCAAACTGCTAATGGTAGGCAGCAACATTTTAGCAATAAGGGCTCCCATTTTCCTTGATATGAGGCACGCTGCAAATCTCTAGAGCAAGTCGAAGAACACTTAAGAGACTGTGTGTGTCTTCCTAAGTGCAAAAGATTTGGAGATGTGACAGAGCGAGCGAAGAGTTGTCCTGCTGCACACTCCTTCACAGGCCTACAGCTGGCCCTTTGGAGGACCTTTAAAATTTAAATGGCTCAGAGAGCAGCACAGGGGGGCCTGCTTGTACCCTGTGATCAGCTGAACAGCTGTCAGCGTGCAGCAGTTGGAGAGGGTGAACAGTCACCACCTTGTCACACATTTTTGAGATTCTAGAAAGTGCAGTGCAGTGGCACCAAGCAAGACTCCAGGCGACTTATTTTTTTACAGACTCACAATACAGAGTTAACACTGTTAAACATCTTAACTCTGTTAAAACTTCACCCAAGTGCCGTCTGCCAAAATATTCCAAGGCTACCTCATGGTTGGGTGTGAACTGCAAAATTGAATTCTTTGAAATATGTTTTTTCTTCTTTGTTGGTCAGTCTGGGCAGCACTGTGTTGAGTCTTAGTCGTGTTGTTCCTTATGGGTGAATCGATCCTCAGCAGTGGCTGTAGAAACAACTGTCTCTTTTGGGTTATTGACGTTGGCCATGTGAGAGGAATCTACAGCACCTGTATGCGTCACTGCTGCCCTCTTGACGTGAATGTGGTTCGGAGGGTTGAAAGAATGCGATTGGTTTAGGGAAGCAAGACGGCAGAGATGCAGTGTCAGAGAGCACGGAGAGCGTTGTGAACTTTAGGGGACCTACAGACAAGGCAGTGTCCGCTGAAAATGAGATGTGAGGTTGAGGGTAGATCCATATATTGTGTCTTGTCCAGGTTTTATGTGGTTGAATCAACTCAATGTGCCATACTTTGAGTATGCGTTCCATGAGACTTGCAGCCTGACTACAAATGCATCAATTATACACTTTATTCCAAGCACAGGTTTTACATTGCAAAAATTTTCCTCAGTCAGTGAGTTGATTCATAGCTGCCTCCATTCATTTAGTAGAAAATATTAAAATTAGTGGTTAGCAATTCATCAACAGATTGGAAGAGGCACTTTCAGTCAGGAAAACAAAGTAGACAACTGTGATCAGGCATAAATCATTTCTTATTTGCGTAGAAATGCACACTCCTTCACCTCAAGTTGCTTTATTACAGCAGCTGACAGTGCACTGCCGCATCCCTTTGTCCTTCTTATTTAGAGTTCATCCCCTGAATGTTGCCATATTTAAAATTCCCATCAGCATGAAGAGTCCTTATTCTGTTATTTCAAGCGTTAGTGAGAGTCCAGGCTTGGGCCTAGAGGCTGCTCACAGTTGCCCTCTACCCTCAGCTGTCACACCTGCCTTTGGGACACAAAGAGTGCAGTGTTACGGGGGTGGACAGCCTACGCCTGACATTCCCTAAGTGACTTTGTAAATCTATCCTTCGAGAAAGCAGAAAAAATGCCAAGCTCAAACTTGGATTAGAGGCCTGCACGCAGGACTGCACTGTTGTGCCCAGTCAGTGTCACTCTCTTGTATGGGATTGGAATGAGAAGAATGGCTTATGCTGACTGGGGTCGTAGGTGACATGCTGAAAGTGCACTGTCATTACTTTCACTCCAATTCATGCCACTTCTAAACATGTCCATGTTTGGAAGAGAACTTTCCCATAGCAGAGTGTCTGAATCCAGCATTTACAAGCTCAATTCTATCGAATTCAGTATTAACAAACTCTATTCAGTGAAGTACATTGCTTTTTAGGACTGGCTTCCTACACCCAGCTTGAGTCAGTCTTGAAATGAAAAGACTGCTGCTCATTTTCAACGAAAATTACATTTAATTTTCATGAAATTACATTTATAACTGTACTTTGGCAAAGTTGGCTTAAAGCAGTAAATAGGAGGCTTAGACCATTATTTTACTATATCTATGAGACTTCAATCTCTTCAATCTCTTTAATCTCCCTTTCTGTATGGATTTAACAAAATTTGCTTCTAATGAAAACTATATATTTCTCTTGTGTGGCTGGATTAAACTCCAGAGACAAATATTGCCTTTCATAAGAGGAACTGTGAGGCTTGAGATATTTGTTTTTATCTTAGCCATTTGTTCCAAATGAGTGCAATTAGAACTGTGTAAAAGTCAGTGACCTCCCTTTATTTACTTAATTTTCAGTCAAATAGGCCATTAGGTTCAAAGTATTAATTTTCCAGTGTCAGGAATAAAAGAAAGCATTTGTTTAACAGAAAATTACACAGAAGCTCTAACAACTAAATAGAATTTCAAACAATTCAGTTTTTGGTGTGTCCTTTGCCTTTATTACACCTTCCATTCTTTTCAGAAGGGAGATCTGCAGGGATAGTTCTTATCTGCTGTTCAGTCTTAGAAGTTGCTTGCACTTTCTGCTTCTCATAATCCACAGTTAATAAAAAACGAAATTGCTCTGTTGTTGGTTTTGATCAGTTTTCTCTCGTTGGTATTACTTAACAGATGCATGTTGGTCAGTGGAACTGAGTGAATTGTGTTGTTTCAATGAAATTAAGTGAATTGTCAGATTTATTTGATAAGTGTTTGTTTGGTCAATGTAATTTTGTTGAGTTGAAATTCCATTGGCTCCTGGCATCATCTATTTGAATATTGTTATATTAGTTTTATTCACCCTCATGCTGTCTTTCCCCCAGCATGGCCTACCTTTTATTATATATACATCATTCTTATACTCTGGTTAAATGCCTAGTCACATTGTTGTTGTCTGTAAATGCAAGTTACCATGTCTTGCATGGTTGTTAGGACCCAATATCATTTAATAACTCTAGTTTTAAAAACTCTTGTTTTCCACTTACTTTCCTTTGACTTTCTAGTTCCTTATGTAAGTGGATCATTCTATATGTAATATCTTTAGAAATATCCCCTGAAAAATGAATAACTTACACTTAATAGGAATTTTGACTAGGAATTAAATAAACTATGGGTGGTCTCTGACCTTTGCACAGTATGGTATATAAATATATATTTTCATTAAGGAACAGAAGTTATCTGTCTCAAAAAGAGGCAGTTAGTGGACTTACAATTGATAAAAGTACAAAGTTTCAGGAGGCAAAATTAAAAAGTTTAGCTCCTTTCTGGTAAGTCTATTTAAAATACTGTCGTTGCTTTGCTGGTCCAAGGTATGTATTTTTATATTCTCTTGCAGTGGCTGTGGCAAATGACCAAAAGCTACCACATATTTGTTTGGCTGCAGATATTTTAGTCACAGAATAAACTTCCTGGATGATTTTCCTGGAGGATATTTAATGTGTGTTGCCTTAAAAAAAGCTCCACTCTGCCTTACCATACCCACTTTCCTTAATACTGGCAAAATGAATACAAATCTCTATAAACCTATGCTGGAAAGTGTTCACTTACACCTTCAAACACAAACTGTTTATTTGAAGATTATACAGGTAGGTAGCATAGTGGAGCCTGTTCAGTAGTCCTAACAGACACAGCAAATTTAAGTTTCTCACAACACTCTCTCATGTGAGAGGAATAGTTGTTTTGGTTGGGAGTGCACTGAATGCATTCATGTGTGGTACATTAGGCAGGATAAGAACACCAGGTCAGAATGGGCCCATTGATTCTTACCCACACATTCCCTATCGTGGCAGCTATCAAACAGCCCTTAACAATTACCTAAATTAGAAAGATATTACATTTTGGACTGACAAAAATGAAACCATTTAAGTTTTTAAAAGTTTTTTTTTAAGGAAATTTAAAATATCTTTGTTATTTCCAGCTTTAGTGGTTGAGATTTTACTTTTTCTTTCAGTCTGAAATCATTCTTTGTCTAACCCCCTACTCAGCACACACCCAGCAATGGGAAAAACTCTTTCGTATTTCCTCTTGTGTGTTTATAACCAATATGTCTCGAGAGCATTTTTCCCACACAACACCTCACTTTCAAAGCATGGTGAGTTCACACACATGCACAGACACACACACACACCTCTAGTGTTTGCTGCCTCGTAATTTGAGGGTTTTTAAAGAGCGGCCATTCCTCCAGACTTGCCGACTGTGCAAATCTCCTGAACTATGTCTATCACCATACAGATCTGCGGTCTGAGAGCAGTGCTTGATTGAGCTTTTAGTGTAGCAGAGCGTCCCTAATGCACAGAGCAGACGCACGGGCAGCCGAGAGAACATGTGGTCTTTAAATGCATGCGTCTCACACGCAGGCATGGTGGTCTCAGCTATCTGCCTTGGCTGGCCAAACCCTCACTCTCTTATGCACTTTATTTCATCTTGTGTAGGTATTTCTCCATATATTTCTCTATTTCATTCGTGTAGGCTTCTTTTTTTTGTAGGCTCTAGCATTATCACAGTCTTCTCATCATCTACTTCCTTCAGGCCTACAGGCCTTCATGGTTTAAGGGGTTAATGATGGGTCTCTCTGGAAGGTGATACCCATGGCTAGTAGTGGCATACACGATTAGACATTAAATGCTAGGAAGGAGGCTGAGGAGAGCCTGATATGAGACTGTGAGGCCAAGAAAAGAGGGTGAAGGGGGGGGCTGGGCTGCTGTGATGCAGAAGGGTGCTGGAGGGGCAGGGGAGGAGGAGGGGGTGGGTGGTTGCTCTGTGGGAAACGACGACTTCCTCCCTGTCTGTCTGTGAGCCGAGCCCAGTCGACAGCAGTCTGGCTGGGGCTCCTGGGGCCGAGGCTCTGCTCTACAGCTCAGCAGCAGCAACAGCAGCGGAGGCAGCAGCAGCAACAGCAGCCCTCAACCTTGGCACCAGCTGAGTGCTTTCACGTGGGCGTTCCCCCAGCGCTGCCACTCTCTTCCTGCTGGGCCAGAAGCAAAGCAAGAGGGTGGGTGGGTGTGAGGGAGGGAGGGATGAGGGGATGGGGGGGGAGCTGAGAGGAGGGATGCAGATGTACACCTTACCCTCCTTGCAAGACACATCCTCAGAGCACACCATTACTGACCACCACTGCCACCACCACCCACACTGCCCAGCCACCACTCAGCTCCACTACAGCCCTGAGGACTGCAGGTAAGGATGTGGGTAAATATTTACTGACTATGTGTGTGTGTGTATGGGGGGGTGTCCTTGTATGTTAATAGAGCAACTTTTTGAAAAGAGACAGCTAGAAAAAAAGCCAGACAGACTAGACACTTGTTCCACAGCAAAACAAACCCAAACAGTGTTGACTTTTCTGCAGCACAGCTATGCTGATGTAAACCACTGGACAGGAGTTGGGATTTATTTGGACAGAACTTTTGATGTGGTGGCAGGGAAATGTCATATTGCAACCAAAAATGTGAAGTTGCATGAATTAAATGTTTTTTTTCCACAAATCTTGGACACCAAAAAAACAACAATTAGCATCATCATCAGCATCATCATCAGCACAATATCCAAGCCCATGATGTAAAGAAAGGGTATTTGATTTAAATGAGAAGAACCTATAGTATATTTTGTAATTGAGACTCAGCAAACTCAGCAAAAATATCAAAATGTACTATTTGTATTTCTTTTTTCTGAACTGAAATTATAGTGGTGATGCAAATGAAGTATGTGGCATAAAATGTTTTAGCTTAAATATCAGTGCTTGAACAAATGTGATAATATAGCTACTTCCACTACCGAACTACTTGAAGGGTTCAAATAAAATATTCAGAATCTTCGAAAGGTGCATTCCACAATCCCACGAAACTCAATGGGTGGTTTAGTAAGTTACAAGATTTGTAAGTTAAGAGAGCGATCAATCTGATGTTAGGCTACCAAGCTGCTTCTGAATAAATCAGTCAGGATGAGGAATAGCAGAGGGCAACCACAAGACATCAGGGAGCAATCTGGGGTGGACAAGATCCAATACAATCAAATATTAAATTTGCAGGTAGCAGATCTTTGGAAGGGGCTTTAAAAGGCACGCAGATGATAAGGGCAAAGCAGCTCACCCTGCTGAAATGCATCCTGATCATGATGCAGAACAGGTTCTTCCTCAAAGGTGAAGGTGTGTCAAATAGTTTGAATAGTGGTCTTCATCATGTTTTTCAAATCAGTGACCTGTTATAAGTAAGTCTGAATTCATGCCAGGTAAGTGGTTCCTAGTCATGCAGGACATTTTATTATTTTCCCTGCTCTAACATGCCCAGAAAAAGGTTTGTTAATAAGCTAAGCAAGGAAAATATCACAATATTTAAGGCATGGATACTCCAGGACAAGTGTTGGAAAACAATGGTGTTAGATATAAAGCAGCATTGATGTGTGCAGTTAAACCTAATTAAACATTTTGTGGACAAACATCATGCAAGACACTTGTTGCTCATCTGCAGCCAAGCTCTGAGAGATGTGAATGACCTCTACTAAACTTTCTATCTGCCTTCGGGACTATATCGTCTGCCTGCTGGCCAGCAAGTGATGAATGACCACCCTGTCAATTTTCCATTTTGGGCTGCGAACGTGAGTTGGTTGCTGAGAACTGAGGAAGCCCCAAGTCTGGTGAGAAGCAGCTCTTCCAGAGAAGGATGAGTCTGCTGCTCCCGATCTCCAAACCAGGGCTAGCTCCTCCGGTCCCCCCACACCCCGGGGGAACGGCCCTGCTGTCTGTCTGCTGCCAGGGAAAGAAAAACACCTCCTGTTCCCCTCCCCTTTCCCCTGAGCAGAGGCCCCAGGGGGGAGGGGGGAGGAGGATAGCCTGTGTTTACTCTCTCCTCCATGTCCTGGGAAGCTCAGAGGAGGAAGGTCTGTCTCAACGGCAGCGGGCTTGCTGCGCTGGGTCTGTGGGAGAAGGGTGTTTGGTGAGCTGGCAGTGTTCCAGCTGTGTCTGGGCTGGATAATGAACTCCAGGTGCTCCTGTGGGTAGTTTAAGACACCTGTCACCAATATTTAGTGCCAGAAAAAGCCAGACTGCAAACAGAGCTCTACGATCTGTTTGCTTATTTTAAGGAGCCAACCTAACTGGAGGTGCAGGTCTGATGAGGAGACCCCAGATGCATGGAAGAAGGCAATGTGAGACTTGAAGACTTTCCTTCAGTCAAGTGTTGCCAGTATGCCTGATATCATTCCGGTCAATAGTGGTCATTCAGGTGAAGGGAGAATAACAATGGCCCATTTGTGCAAGATTTAAACAGTGCAGTTATGCAAATCCAAATGCAGAGTCTTCTCTGTTTCTCATGCTAGTTCTAGAGGTTTCAGGTGTGCCAGCTGCAAAATCTATTGGCCTGTGGTGCCTGTAATTAATCAGCCCACAGCTGTCCCACACCAATGCTAAAAATACAACATAGCCAGTGCTGCTTATTTGAGGACACCTTAGGTACCATTTTGAGTATTTTGAATTTTAGGTGAGAACTTGCTTAAAGCCACATCCTCTTGCTGGCTTTATGCCTTTAAACAGAACTAATTAAACTAGTGTTTCTAAAGGCAATAGAGTTTCCTTTCTTTTACCACATCTTCTCCCCTCAGGATGAGGACCTGGTCAAGGGCCCAGTATGGGGAGCGCTGTATGGTCCTCCTGGGTCTCATAACCTTGGCTTTTTCTCTGAGCAACATCTCAACTAGAGGACAGGTAAGTAATGGCCACATACCTTCCAAAATCAAGTTTCTGAGTAAGTTCATATTGCCACACCTGCATTATTGTGTGCAAACTCTAGGCAGTATTCTGCAAGGAAACTGGTTTCTAGTTTTGACGTGCTTCCTGAATAGACGACGTTTGTTGCAGGATGAGGGTGTTGCCTCTAACAGTCTGGAAGACGGGCTGGAGGTGACTACATATTGGTGGGGGGAATGGGCTAAGTGGACAGCCTGCACACGCACTTGCGGAGGGGGGGTCATGTCTCAGGAGAGACACTGTCTCAAGCAAAGGTCTGTGGGTTCCTTGCAAACAGAAGCTTAACTAATGTATTCAAACAAGCATATGCCAATTTAAGTAAAAGGTTATGCATATTACTGTTGTCAGAAGAAAACCTTGTATCTCCAAAATGGTAACTTTACAGGAAAAGGAAAAAACCTACTTTAGTGGAACCAGACTTTTTTCCAAGTCATTTTGGGTCATTTCTTTTGGCCCATTCTTCATGAAATTTGCAAAAATGGAGATACAAGGTTTTCTTCCGACAGCAGCGATATGTTGTTGTTCCCTATTGTTGGCATTACTGGATAATATATACATGTATAATTTCAGTTATCATTTTGAGGTCTTTGAGAGAGAAGTTAAACTTGAATTAGAAATGAAGGCATTTGAATGTATCTGTGTTAAAGATTTCTGAATGCAAAAGAAAACTGTCACTAAATAATTTAATCACACAAGTCTCCTTCATTTAAAGAAAGAAAGCAACTACTGGTAAGGACAACATGACATGCACAGGCAATGCAAAAAGGTACCACCTCTGCAATACAAAGGTTAGTTCATACTATTAGTCTTGCCTTTCCTCTCACACACACAGTGTATTTGCTCATTTCACTTAGAAATACAAGCCAGACACCACATTTGACAGCATAATAGAGTTATATGTAGATTAGACCTACTTTCACTTGTTAGAGACTTGAAATGCCAATGAGTAAATTCAGTGTTGCTTTTGTCGATAATGGCTAAAAAATGAGGAAAAACAAAGAGACAAGCAGGCCTCTGATAGTGTCAGTGTCTCAACTGAGCATAGATCATGACTTACAGGAGTGTCCCTCAACTGGAAGGAGTTTCAGAGAGGAGCAGTGCTGGTCGTTCAACTCTCAGGTGTACAATGGAAAATATTACCACTGGAAACCCCTTTACCCAGGTAGCTATCATTAGAATAGATAGCTGTAAGGCATGTTTAACCTGAAACACTGATGCCACAATTTTAATTCTGTAGATGACTACGTTCATATCTCCAGCAATCCCTGTGATCTTCACTGCACTACTTCGGACGGTCAGAGACAGCTGATGGTCCCTGCCCGTGATGGAACATCCTGCAAATATAGCAGTTACAGGGGAGTCTGTGTTGACGGCAGGTGTGAGGTAAATGTTTGGGCAACAAACTTATGTGATCTCACTCTCATATGGGCAGATGAACACTGAACAGATCATGCTCCAGTAAGCATTGTTCATGTTTATGTAAACATCTGGAGGTGCTGGACTGTTTTCAATTTAATATTCCTTCTGACTAATTGCTAATTAGCTTCCTAAAACATATGACCCATTAGTGTGCCCCTCTCTGCAGCCTATTGGATGTGATGGTGTCCTCTTCTCTCCCAATACACTGGACAAGTGTGGTGTGTGTAAAGGAGATGGGAGCAGCTGTAGCAGGGTAACTGGAAACTTCCGCCGTGGGGCCTCCAGCCTTGGTATGGACATTCACATCACTTCCAGTGGTACATCCTCACCAAGTGTCACCATTGATTGAAGAGTTGATGAATTTATTAAGTGTTTTTCTTTCTTGAAGGATATTCCTTCATTACCCAGATTCCAGAGGGCTCATGGGACATCCAGATCATTGAGAGAAAGAAGTCTGCAGATATACTGGGTGTGTAGACCCTAACAATTAATAATTCAGAAATAAGCAATTAGACATTAGAATAAGTGCTGCACTAATGAGCAACATATCAACTAATATGGCATATCTGATTTGGCACAAGCCTACAGTAGTGATTAAACATATTCTTCTTTTGCTTAAAGCAAGCAAGATATGTTCTTTTTCCAAGTCTATCCAGCCATGGAAAACAACATCCTTTATCAAGTCTTTGCAATTAGCGTGACTTATCACTGGGTAATGTATCAGTGGACTCACTGCCCCCCTGACAACCGCTTGAATAAACTTCTTTGAAATTTCTTCTCTTGTTATACTGCAGCTGTGACTGACCAGGCAGGGAACTTCTTCTTCAATGGTGCATACAAAGCAGACAGCCCTCAGAACTTCCACGTGGCAGGCACAATCTTCAAGTACCGGAGGCCCACCGATGTCTATGAGACGGGGATTGAGTACATCGTGGCGAAAGGGCCCATCGACCAGCCCATCAATGTTCTGGTACTGTAGCTGCGGTCCTTCCTCCCGCCGCCAAGGGCCCCTGGGTAATCTCATTGGCTGGCTGACCCTGCCTTTGACGTAGTGCAGGCCAGAGGTGCCATGGCTCATATGGAATAAGCTGTAGCACTGCGATACGTTGCCCTTGGAAAAATGGCACAAAGTGTCAATTTTGTGGTGGTGTATGGAATGATCCAATGAGCAAAGATGCACTAATGACCTAGGAATGTGGCATCTACTGGTACAAAGCTTTGCAGCATTGTGTTTTTATGCACAGTGCCCTCTAAATGGACTGTGGATCTATTGATATTCAGTTCTATAAACAGCTTGTCTTGTACAAGTCTTGTACATTTACTAAACATGTTCATATCCATCTGTGTTCTAACTTATTTGTGCACTATTGACTGCTTCTTCTGTCTTCCAAGGTCTGGAACCAGAATGGTCGCAACCCTTACATCACTTACGAGTACACGGTAATGCGAGACCCCCTCGCTCCAGTCTCTCAACCACCCATTTACACCGGCTCAGACAGGGGCTCCAGCCACCACGGTTCCATGGAGATCGACATTGTGTTGCCCCACAACGAGAGCGCATATGACAAAGCTGTCCCCGGGATGGAGAGGAAGCAGGTGCGGACACAGGGCGTAGAGCCAGGTAAAGCAGAGAGACAGCAGCCTGGCCAGGAGACCAATGAAGTGTATGAGGAGACAGCTGCCATAGACTGTGAGCAGGATGCTCCAACACCACCTCAGTATCCGGGTATGTTTTAAATTTTTGTGTAGTCTGTTTTATGGAAATGTGTGGCAAATTTGTAGTCAAGTGTTTGGAAGAGCTTTTCAAAAAATTCAATAATCAGGCTCTTTTTATCCATTTTAAATATTACAGATCTATCTGAATATTACGCAAGATGACTGCAGCTATGTGAACAGAAATCTTCTGTCAAAGACAGGATTTTCCCTTAGGGTTAGATAAGATAGTAACAGTCAACAGCAGCGTTGGCGAAGCATTGCTAAAATATTACCATATTACTGATATTAGTCCGCTTTTTAAATGAACTCGTATTCCTCAATCTGATGATTAGTGCACTATACTGACGTTTTCACGCTACCTGGCATAAGGAGAGCAGAGAGGAACAGGCTGTACATGGTTCACTGAGTAATCACTGTGCAGGAGATAAAATGCCAAGCTTTTTAATGCGGACTCACTCTGCTGGGCCTTTGGAGTCCTTTATAATGCATGAGCACCAATACAAAGATTAGTCGGGGAGGATGAAAATTTCAGGAAGCCTTGACATTTTCCCTCTGTTAAAATTGGTGGATCACCGGCATGTGTGGTAATGGCCTTGCACTGGCTTCTCCAGGCCTGAATGTAATCGTTATATGGAGAGCTGGAGTTCTGAAAGAGAGAAAGGCTGTGTTGTGGGACCGGCTTCAGTGTAGGAGGGGCAGGAGCCTGTTATTGCCCCCTGACTGTGGTAGGCTACCGCTCTGATCTCTCCGTTTCTCTCCTCCATGTCATGCCAGCTACCGCAACCACATGGGAAAGAGGGCAGTCAATGAGGCAAAGGTGGTCCTTTCGAATGCCAACTTTGAGAATATGCTGTGGAATGTCCTTTGAGACTGTCTGAAATATTGTGAAAATCTAAATAGGTATTTGAGAGGTGGTTGATGTATTCATGGTAGCTTTTAGTGATCAACCTTTCACTAAACTTCTCTGAATCCTTTTCAAATCATTAGCAAATCGTTAATATCTATGTTAACCATACTTGTCCATCTTTTTGACTTTTTATTTCAAAAGGTGGCAATAGCAGCTGGCCAAGTGGAGTGGTTGCTCCTGGCATTGTGCCTGCCAGCAGACCTGCAGAGGAAATGGTAGACTCTGAGAACCTCATATGGAGAATGTTTCTTAGGCAGCGTATGCACGTTAACATCTCAACCAATCAGCTTCTTGGTGAAGGCGGAGGCCTCTTCCCTGAAGTAGAGCCAATGGAGTTAGACTACAGCAGCACAGAGCAAGGGAACCTTACCGGTTCCTTTCTTGAGTTTACCCTGGGCCGCCGCCGCAATGACACGGGAGACCTGTTCCAGAACAGGACTCTGATCCCCAGCTTAAGGAGCAGCAACCGCACCAATCGCACCAGGTAAAGGCTAGTCTGAAGTCATTTTTTTCATAGCAGTATGCCACAGATCTTGGCAAGATGTCACGTGGCCTAAGTTGCCACATTCATAAGTGGAATAAGCTTGTTAATAAATAAGTGTAATGAGTCTCGTTAATAAAAGTCAAGTGAAATACCAGTTCATAGCTTTTTTATGCCTTCTCCATCATAAGGACTTGTCCTTTTAAATGAAAGGGCTGCTATAGAGGTATTTATTTAACCCCTTAACAGACCATGGGCCTGCCGGCAGGCCCAAAGTTTCATTTGACACTTCACGAACTTAAGAATAGCTTAACCAGTTTGCATTGAAATCCCTGTAGTTACTGAACAATAAAAGCCTTTGTGTGTAATAAGCCTGGGATGTTAAGGGGTCAATCTAGAGCACAAGCAGTCCCCTAGCCTTCTGTAACAGACATGTAGAAGAGCAGGATGGTCTCAGCTGGGACAGCCCTGCTCGTGGGGAATGGAATGTGCTCCAGACTCTCCTTGGACAGCTTTTTTTCTTAGCGCTCTCAGAGACATTCAAAGAGTGGTGAGGAGAGACGGCCAAGCGGAGGGCTGGTGGGATTGCATTCCATCATATTTATAATTCATGTTGGCTTCCCTGCAATGTGTCCAAACACCGCTTCACCAGCCTCCCTGCCAGAGATCGTAAAACACATCACATGACACGCCCTTTCTCGCACTTGAAGGAAAAGAGAGAGATTCCAGGCAAGGAAAGAGAGCGAAGGAGAGACTGAGCGTGAGGAAGACGGCCTTTCTGAAAGGCATAACTCATGGTGTTTTGTTATTTGTGGAAAAAAGCGCCATAGATCACTCGGGTACAGGCCATGCCTGTCACATCAGATAAATTTACAGGAATCACAAGGCGTAGGTTATATTTGCTTGTATTTCAGTGAAGCATTGCACAGTTTTCCATGCCTGACATTTCAGGTAATGCGTGTGACCAGAAATGACAAAAAAGTTTGTGATTTTATGACTGACGTACCGCTTGATGTCTCAGATTTAACAACTACATATATTTTATGTAATATATGATGCAGACAGTTGGAAATCAGTCCAACCTGAGATGTAACTGATTACACTCTTTGTCCTCCCTTAGGAGTCATCAGAGGTTGCTACAGAAGAACAAACTGAGTGCAGCAGATATGTATCGCTGGAAACTGTCATCTCAAGAGCCATGTAGTATGACCTGCTCAATAGGTACTGACCATACCCTCTATCCCACACTCACATTTAAAATGATTCTAAGTGGCTACATACTTATTACTTTTTCACTGTTTTATTCCTGTGATGGCTCTGTTTGCAAAAGGTGTGGCAAAGTCGTTTGCTATGTGTGTGCGATATGACGGTGTGGAGGTGGATGACACTTACTGTGATGCTTTGACTCGGCCTGAACCTGTCCATGACTTCTGCATTGGAAGGGAGTGCCAGCCTAGGTATGTATGCCATACTAACAGAAACAGGCTCTAGAGCGAAAGGAAAAAGAACATTGGGCCTCATTCACCAACTGTTCTTAAGAAGAAATTTCTTCTTAAAACCCACTTCAGGGTTTGTTCTTAGGTAAAAACAGAATCTACACACACTCAAGAGCACGAAGGTGCGAACAATTCTGCATTTTAAGAACACGTCATGAATCTGACTTTTTCTTAGGACCTTTTTCAAGAACTAATTTATATAAAACTAAAAACTTACGAAGATATTGGTGAATGAGGCCCATTGTTCTCCCACACCAATGACTCATCAGACATGAAAACATAACGCTTTTACCCACAGTATCTAAAATAAGGTAAAGATGTGTAAAGATAAAAATTAATTCCCATCATATGCATGTCATCATTAGTATCTAACGTTGCTTTGACTGGTTGTAGCATTAGCTTAAACATTAGCTCATCTGAAGGGGCAGCTTTCTTAGCTCAAACCTCCATGAAAACCTGACGCTTTAAAAGCTTTTTTGGTTCCTGGGTCCTGAAAGAGTTGCCAGTACAGCCCCACGAGCGAGAGGCAAACTTCTCTCTGCATCTACGCTGTTCAGTGAGTAGCAGAGAGGTGAAGCAGCACGTTTAGTCCGCATGGCAGCTGACAGAGATGGAAATGAGCTGCGAGTGTGGAAAGTGTTGCCAAGGACCAATCACTAATCTGTATTGTTTGTTCTTCCTTTGTTTTAATCTAAACAATTTAACCTGATCGTTTTGACCATTATCACTGTCTTATCACTTACTATCACACTGAAAACGGAACATCCAACATGGAAATATAGACAAAATCATAGCACAGCAGTTGTCTTTAAATTATAGGGGTATAGTGATTTTGTCAGATGTCATGGTTATAGAATCAGACTTTTAGCAGAAGAGCAGCAGTGAGAACAGATTTACTAGGAATTTGGCTATATTAAAATACAGTATATGGAGCACAAAAAGCAGGAGTGAAGCAAAAAGATGTAAAGGGCTGACATCATCTGATACTAGACAATATGCTAATTAGCACATGGCGTCATCTAGTGACATTGTGTTTTTTTCAAGCAGGCTTTAGATACTTGCCATTGAACTTACCATTTAACTAATTTACCTGAAAAGCATACCCAGAATAACATGAGAAGCTTATTGTTTACTAGGTTAGCTAACTTTGCAACTAGCTTCCATGAAAACATCCTAATTAGCATTTTTTATGGCAACTCGAAGATAAATATTCACAAGACACTTAAAAGTAGCTATAAGCAATACATAATTAATAAGACATAATTTAGTGGTACAACATAAAAATCGGTCTGCTACATTGGGCATAGTGGTTGGACAGTATGCTGTAGGTGGAGTGAGAGGGGAGTGATAATCCTTTGCCAGTCATGTTGTTTCACTTGAAATCTATTTGTTTGAGGAGGGGAGTGGACAGATATCCCTACTCACTTGTTTCACTTTCCACAGTACCTCAAAATACAATCTCAAAACACAATTTATAAAGTTAGAGTTATTTTTTTTAAAGAATGGGCATGATGTTACTGATGCTAATGCTAACTGACAACAGTCAGACCTGGAAACCTGGGCTGAAAGTGGGGTCCCAAGTACTGACTTTGGGAACCTCTTTTGGGATTTCACTTTTCCAACAGATATTTTGACTGGTATTGAAACTGATGTCATCAGTCTGATAGCATGCATCAAATATTCTCATCACCTTCTGCAGGTGGGAGGCCAGCAGCTGGAGCGAGTGCTCTCGGACATGTGGTGAAGGTTTTCAGTTCAGGCAGGTGCGCTGCTGGAAAATGCTGGCGCCTGGCCTGGACAGCTCAGTCTACAGTGACCTGTGTACCGACGCTGAGCTAGAACGCCCCCCAGAGCGCAGGCCCTGCAAGAGCCCTACCTGCGGCCCGCAGTGGGAGGTAGCTGAGTGGTTAGAGGTGGGTCGAGGGACTTGTGTTTTGCTTGATTTATAGATGTGACTTGTGTTTTATGGCTTTGATTTACCTTAAACTGCAGGCTTATTAATTTGAAGGGAAAGCAAATTCTGTCCATCTCTGTCAAATATTTCATGGCTTTGAGTGATCCCTTAAACTCCAGGCTTACTAATCTTAAGACTTATTATACAGTGACTACTATAAATAATTTTCTAACATGAAATTAAATTTATTGCATGTACTAATAAGACCGTAAAGCTGAAGGGTGGGCCCACAAACCAATTCCTGCAGTTTAAGGGGTTAAAATGTTTAAGATAAAAAAACTTAAATTTCTCTGTTTCATTATTCTAGTCTATTTAGTAGCTAGAAGAATACTGTGATAATTCAGTCCACCACAAAATAACAAGAATTTTATTAGAATTTTATTAGAGCATAAAAGTTGTTTGTTGTTTTTTGAGCAGTGCCCAGCAAAATGTGGTCGTAGAAGCTTGGTAACCCGTGAGGTAAGGTGTTCGGATGAGATCAGGCCATGTGATGAGGCAACCCGCCCTCCATCTGCCAAGAACTGCACCGGTCCACCTTGCGAGCGCCAATGGACAGTGTCTGAGTGGGGGCCGGTAGGACATGCTATGACTCACAGAGAAGAGTCAGCTACATTAACTGTGAATTTACCAAACTCCAGTTAAATCAGTGTTAATATACACTAAAGTTAAGTTACTAAAGTTCATTTTGTTTGTATCTTATTTGTCTCTTTCCCTTTGATACTCAGTGCTCAGGTACATGTGGGCAAGGGAAGATGGTTCGGCATGTGTACTGCAAAACTCCAGAGGGCCGAGTAGTGCCCGAATCCCAGTGTTCACCTGAGAACAAGCCTCTGGCCATTCATCCCTGTGGAGACAAAGAGTGTCCTCCACACTGGCTGGCACAGGACTGGGAAAGGGTGAGAAATTAGCAAAAAAACAGACATTCAGTTGGAATATGCTTCCTAAGGAGTTTTGGGGCTTAGCCCCAAGGAGAGCTCATTAATATAATTATGCAGTGTTATGAAGAGTGGGGATTTCTGCAGGCATTGTGGCCTTCATGGACCACCATGAAGCATGCCAGTAGTTTTAGTTGTTTCCCAAATAACATGGATATATAAAAATGTCAAATGATGCAATAGTGTGTACAGAGAGTCAAAAATATCTAAGCTGAAGAAGGCTTTGCAGCTAGTGAGCTTTTTTTCTCATCTCAGTGCAACACAACATGTGGACGTGGTGCGAAGAGGAGGATTGTGCTGTGTGCTGGCATCACCGGTGGCAAGTTTCAAATCCACGAGGATGAGGAATGTGACGCTAGCAAGAGACCAACGGACGAAGACACGTGCTTTGAGAGACCTTGCTTCAAGTGGTACACAACACCTTGGTCTGAGGTAGGAAATTAGCTTCAATAGTTCTGTGGTGTTACTACATACTGATACATCTTCCTGTTTATAATATATTAAACCATATCTACTCTGCTTGGTAGCTGTAGTCCAGTTACTCTTCTTGTATCTTGCACTATTGAATCTTTTAAGAAAGACATAGAGATTTAAGTATAGTGCGCTATCATTTATGACCACCACTTTCACTGTTCCTCAAATGACAGTGCACCAAGACGTGTGGTGTGGGCGTAAGAATGAGAGATGTGAAGTGTTACCAGGGAAGAGAGCTTGTTCGTGGATGTGACCCTCTAACCAAGCCTGTTAACAAGCAGACCTGTGCCCTGCAGCCTTGCCCCACCGAACCTCCAGGTAGACCTCAAAGTGGAAAACATTACACACTCATGGACAGTCACGCATGCAGACATTGGTGCTATCCTTTGTTCTTGACGACTGAAGGCTACACCAATTTTGAACAAATTCTGCAGGCCCCTAGTGGCCATTCTGTCAATGGAATGGAAATCAACTCAGATATTTTTAAACACTGTAATCAAAAACAAAATTTCCTCTACCTCTATTATCAGACTAGAACACTGTTGGTTGTCTGTGTGTGAAATGTAGTGACACTGTGTTGGGCTGCTGGCAAGCAATGAGGAGTGAAAACAATTCAAACCTTTCCACAAAGACGGCTGTGCTAAGATAAAATGGGCAGAACAAATGCAGCTTTCTTGATATAAAAATCTTGTACAACTGAAAAAAATGCATTTAAACACAAAAACACTTTTCTGAAGGAAAAAAATGTATAATTGAGGGACCTACAGGTGGAAATTTTATGGATACTATAAAAAAGAGGTTTTAAGATAATTAAATTTCCTTGATGAGGTCATAACTAACCCAGACTGTCAATGGCTGGTTTTCTACATAGATGAGAACTGCCAGGACCGTCCCACCACCAACTGCTCTCTGGCTCTGAAGGTCAACCTGTGCAGCCACTGGTATTACAGCAAGGCCTGCTGCCATTCGTGCCGGAATCTACGAGCCTCCTAGTCCTCGACCCCTGAATTACCACACGGGCAAGAGCCACTGCCCTTTTATAAGAATTAGACCAGTGCACTCTATTAGGACTAATGCCATCGGGTAATTTGTGAAAGCCAGAATTTCAAAGATGTTTTATAAGCCAAAGTTATGAATATCTAGTATTTAGTATCCATGCAGAATAGTGGACCAAAGACTGAATATCTGCAGTTTATTTTCTTTGGATAACTTTTATTGTTTTATTTTTATTAAGCTAGCTACATTAAACTACCATTGATGTCAGTATTATAGTTACAATACATATTTTATGACAAAGTCCTGCAATAGTGGGATACCTTAAGGAAACACTAAATTATTTTGATTATTGCTCAGTGAACCGTAATTATAATGCATGAAAGTATTTATGATCCATTAAACTGGCAGAGACGGGGTCAGTATTGAATGTTACCTCTGGCAAATGATGGAAGACTTAGTACTGTATGTCTAAACACAAGTTGACTCTTCATCCACTGCCAGTTCCAATGCTCTGCTGTTTTTTATCTTATTGAAATGTTGCTGGACCATTGCTTTTCTAATGTTTATTTATTGGTCAGCGCAGGTGTTTCTTTTAAGCATTATTTTCCTCCCATTTTGACTAATTTTTTCCTTACAACCAGTTGTTTTTGATACCAAGGGAAGAATGAACACCTGTGCGCTTGATATTCCTGCGTCTTACTATCTGCCATTGAGTGAGTCCTGACACTTGAACATGTAATATTTGAAATTGTATGCAATTTATATAATGCTCCTTTGTGACACAATCCAGCTAATATAATGTTGCGTTGCTGTTACCTCAGTGTACAAAAGGCAATCGAAAGTAGAAATAATTTTCTTTTATTGTAGAAAAATTGCACATTTTATGTTACATCTCAAAATATGATAAATAGGATGCTATCACCAGTGCTTTCGTGTGGTATTTTTAGGTCCAGTAAAATCAAACACATTTTTATGTTGAAGGTTTGAAGAAAAACCTGTTTAGGCAGTTTTTGAAATTTTGGCTTGGTTCAAAGTAAGCATGGGAGTAACTCATTCAGATCATTCTACCCTCAATATTACAGACAGTGAAGCAATGGACAGCCTATTCCAACATGCCTATAACTTTTCAGCTGTTGCTAAAGCGGTGAACAGCTGAGTGTCTGAGTGAAAGAACTGACGCCACCTGCTGGTCCAGTCACAGAACACAGCCATGCATAATTTGCTGCTATACCACAAAACATTCCATTAAAAAAATTGACAGAAATGTGCATAGCAACTACTGACTAGTCAATTAGGTGAACCAATTTAATGACTTGAATAAGGTGACAAAATATAAAACATTAAGAAACTGGTGAAATCTCAAAATGACCAAGCCAACACAATATATCTGCACAAATAAAATCTGCAATCAAATAGATAAACAACAGATAAAACACACATTTAGGCCCATATCCCTGTGTGTAAAGTCAACACTCTTATACATATAATTTCATGACTTCAAAGAGCAGCACATTATAGTTTCAGTTAAACAGGTACAAAAAACACAAATGTTTTCATGGTCTAATACTTTACTACAGTGATAGACACTACAGACTACATGACACGACTATTAACCTATTCAGATCTTATTCAAGTTTTGCATGCCATTAGTGAGCCCTCTTGCTTAGTTAAACATTGTGAAGCATGTCCATATTGCTGTTTTCCATGTCATGTCCTTTATCAGATAAATAAGCTTCTACATGGCTAGCGTATACACATTTACCTATGTGTACAGGTTAACCATAGCATGTGCATCTATATGGCATTTCCACATCAAAAATGCTGTGATCTCTTGAACATAATACAAATCTTACATTTTAGTTTTGTATTAAGAAACTTATAAGTCATATATGAGTCTTAAAATAGGGTTCCCTGGAATGGTTTGTGCCTCATCAAGTTTCGTCCAGTTGCCCCTCTCCATCGAGTGGTGCTACACATCAGTGCTGACGCTGTGGTGAGTCACCACCTCCCTCATAGTAACGGAGCGGATGAGGTTGAGCTTGTTGAAGTTAGGCATGTCCACAGGCACCACAGGCAGGTCTAACTCTTGCTGCTGCACAGTCCTGTAGCTGATCCTACCCCCGCCGTTACGCAGCCCCTCCTGAGGATTCAGGTAGAAGGGCAGGTAGCCGGAGCAGGAGGGGCAGAAAGTGTAGGAGCGAATGGGTCTGCGGGGTAGCGCGGGGCTGTAGCGGCTGCAGATGGTCGGTCCATTGGGCTCATAAGGCTCGGCGGTCATGAGAAGCTGATTAGAGGACGAGTACTCTGGAGGAGGGTGAAAGCTCAGTGGGCTTGGAGGACTCGGAGAACTAGGAGGGCTGGGGTTTAGTTCTTGTGGTGGACTGGGGGATGATTTGGTAAAGTCAGGCTCCTCCTCCTCCCCCTCTGACCCCTCTCTCTTACAGCAGTAATACTTGTAGTGACAGATGAGGCCAGTTTCAAAATTCGATTGTGTTTGAAGGAGAGGAGAGAGATTGAAGAAGCAAAGTGAAGGATGATTCTTAGTAATCATCATAACTATCTATGTAATAGTGGCTAATGGACAGCAATCTCATACACAACTGTTCAGAATTTAAACCACTTAAAATGTCTAATTAATATTTTTTCATTATTGTACTGGTATTACATATTATATAGCATTCTATTGGTTATGTATGTTGGTCCTGTGCAACGTCACATGTTTTAAATAATTATTAAAAAGCTAAGGAAAAAGAGTTTCACTGCAAAACACATTATAGACCACTTTCGAAAAATGTTTTTTAATGTTAGATGTTGTTGGGAGTAGGCTTTACACAAACAAGAAATATCAGTGCTATATTACGATTTATACCAATACCAATTTTTTTTAGAGATATGAGAATGTGTTTTCCATTATACGTTAGCAGACAGAGTGTTTCAGAATGTAATTTTTCAAATGGAGACATTTGAGATGCATCCAGACTGATAAACTCTGTTGTAGATAATTCTAAAATTAGTGACATACCTGTATAATATTAAGAAGATTCAGAATGTCTTATATTTCATAAATGGTAATTCTGTACATTATTCTGTAATTACCTAACAATGTAACAATTATGTATCATTTTATTTAACAACTTCTTGTTTCCAGAGTACTTAAAATATTGAGTAAAACACCTTTTTGATGTCTAGTTCAGAATTTATAAATGACTTAGATTTTAAAATAGTTTAAAATTGTACATGTTATCATTGGATATAAATTTACAACATGTATTAATATGACAAGTGATTCCAAAAACTTTTGAACTGTAGTCTACATTAAAGCTATTAAGGCTATACTAGTTCATCAAGATCATGCAAGGTCACAGCTGATATCTTGATTTTATATCATCATATGCAAACGTTTGGACATCCCGGCCAAATAACATTTTTTCTTGATTTTCTGGGTGAAAATAAGTTAACACATCTTTTACAGAGAACACACTTTGATTTGTCATTTTTCAGAAAAATTTATTGCACAACTTATTTAACACACTGGAAAAAAATAAAACAAATATAAAATGTGTCCTAACTTTTGGTCAGGCCACACGTCAAAGATGGTACATGCAGTAAATTAACAGTACTTGTGCATTAAAATGTGCAGTAGTGTGTTCTCTGTAGAGGATGTGTTCACTTATTCTCACTTAAAAAATCAACATGTCATTTGACCAGGGGTGGCCTATCTTTTGCATACAGCTGTAATAATATGCAGTACTGTGCAAAAGTCTAAGGCATCTAAGCAAACTGATTAAACCATTTATGTCAGCAGTAAGTATGATTTTGCCAGTAAAAACAATATAACATTAGAATAAGAAGTAGTTGATATTTTGTGAGCATGTTAGAAGATTTTTGGTTCCAGATTTCTTTTCGACATCCTGAGGCATCGCATGCATATGTTCATTTCTATCAACATTAATGAAGTATTAATTAGTCAAACCAGTTACTACAAATAATACTGGGCTACCATGAGGAGAGGTTTGGAAATCACTACTTACTACTTACTAATATTATTTGTTTTTATTCTAATATTAGTGTTTTTCTGAGCCTATAAATGCTTAAAACCAGAAAATTAGCTTTTTGAAATATAATTTTCTCAGGTGCTGAGACATTTGCACAGTACTGTATTTCTAAACAACTATAAAATCACATAATTTGACCACTAAACTCTTCTCTGAAAGTAATTTTAGAGGTTACCCACATTACCTTTACAACTGCAAGTAACTGAGTGTATTAATTCTGACCCTAACAGACATGGATGAGTGTATTTACCTGCAGCCTACAGTAACACAGCACCGTAACAATAGTCAATAAGATGACTGCTGCTATGATTCCTCCTGTGATGACCACTGTTCCGGCTGTCATTCGAAATCCTCTCCATCAACACCCTGCACACATGCACAAGAGGAAGAGAAAAACGACAATAATATCATCATATTAGAATGAATCATTATCATATAAACCAGTGAACTAACTGGATGTAATGAAACAAGATTACACAATGATCACATGACTGCAGCAATGAATCTGCCACTAAGTTGGCTGTGCTGGAGCTGCTGAAACTTTGCCTCACAGCTAAATGCTCACCGTGGTGTATAATAAGATGTGGCTATCCTTCAAATGACATAGACATCCAATCTTCATTATGCCATTTTTGTGACGATATTCAGGGGCATGTGGGACAGCAGCCAAAAACATGTCACACTGTAGGACCATCATGGTACAATGCAGCTGGTTGTGCATTAGTGGGACAAAAATGAAGCCCCAAAATAGAATCCACTGGGAAACACGAGATGACTTCATGAGAAGCTTAATGAGGAGCCACATGAATATGCAAAGAAAAAGTTTGTTTGATTTTTCTATATGTTTGTCAAAGATTATTCTCTACTGAAAATGACCTGCCTCATAGTATCAGAAAACAAACCATACTCGTCAACTTGCGATCTACGTGAATCAATAATCACCTTGGATGCTGCAACATCTTTAAAATTCCACCTGGATCGGAGAAAACTGAAAGATACCTGAACTGAAAGCTAACTGGCTATGCTTCTTTCAATGCCTGACTGCTCACCGGTGCATCTCATTAGGCTTTTCAATTAGAAATTCAGATGCAACGATGGCAGCATTTAGACTCACCCCAGGCCAGCAAGGTCATTCACTCCCACACAGAGTGGTCATCGTTATGCTCAAATTACTCAACAAGCTTTATGTAATCCAACATAAAGATCATTAAAAGTCAACAAAAACATTCAGAAGCACTATCATTAGTGACAGGTTTGCTCTCAATGCCTTCTAAAGTTAGTTAAACCACAACAATGCACTAAACGTCAGGTCCAATTATGATCAGCTCATGGAACAAACAAAGGCCGATGGCACTGTACCCACTGTTTACTTCTATGATTATATATTTCGGGTGCAGACATTAGACCTAGGTCGACAGCTTGTCTGACAGAATGAGGAAGACTTGTGTGGGAGTATGCACTTGTGTTTGTGTGAGGTGTGCGTGTGTGACTGTAGATGCACCCCTGCGTATGCATTTATGGGTGCAAGTCTGAGAATGAAGATGGGTGGGGGATTCTAAGCCATTTCTATGGAGGACAAGATTAAGATGTCAGTTAACTTGAATTCACTTATTAATTCCTTTATTACTGAAAACTTAAAGGTCTACAGGGTATATAAAATGAGCACTTACACATGTAGACCTAGTAATTTTTAGTAGCTGTAAGCAATTTCAGCACTTTTCAACATCAGCCCTTACAAAAAAGATCTATAATAATACCATAAGAAACTGTGAGATTTCTATAGAACTGCATAATACTTTGATATTACATAGTATATTCTATATACATATATATTCTATACACAATTTTTTGTTTGTTAATTTTGTAATTTTTAATTTAATTTTTTATTTTTATTTTGTCTTCTGTGTATTTTATCTTCTGTGTACAGTGTCCTTAGGTATCCTGACAGCTTATAATATACATATAAATGTCTTCACCTTTAAAATAACTGATCTTATGAGAAGATTAAGAGTCAGTTAAAACTAAAATACACTTGGATGTATTCATTTGAATTAGAAACCATTTTTTAAACCATTTAAAACCACATAATATTTCTTTAAATATAATAGGACTAAAACACACATTGGTGCTAAAAGTACTTATAAAGTGGTTAAAGTGCTGGTTTTCATTACCTTTAAGAAGCCCTGGTAGTGGAAGCTCACTGTCCGCCTCTCGGCGTCTCCAAAGCGGCCACTGAGAGTTTAGCAGAGCAGGTAGGTGACCTCAAAACTGCTGACTAACTCGCCCTGTGTGGTTTAAATCCACTTCATTTGTATTTCTCAGTGAAAAAGAGCCTAAATGTGACGACTTACTCGACGTATACTTCAAAAAAGTGGCTAATATCCAACAGTATCCTTTCACCTCCACCGTTAGCGTTAGCCTTCCTCAGAGTTTTACATACTCAGTTTGCTCTTCTCCGCTTCTTCTTCGGTTTCCTTCAGGTAATTCTCAACGCAGCACAGCAGAAAGATTTAGTCTTCTCTAGTAGTTCATCCCTTCGGCAGGAATAGCTTCTTCAAATAATGGCTTTGCTATTCAACCATAATAGCCTTTTTGAAGGTATTTTGGAAAGTAACGCACTGAACACAGCAGGAGAGGATTTTTGTGCTCTCTGCGGACTGAAGCTTCAAAACAATTTCTCCTCAGTCCAGGAGAAGTGGAGCACCTGTGACTGTGAGAGAAAAAGAAAGAAATAAATCACAGGCTCATCAGTTACCTGCGCGTAAAAGCAGAGAAGAAGAGCCGAAAGCTGCTCTCTTTCTTTTCCTCGAGTGTTGAAGGACTCATGGTTTGCTCATCTGTCTGAGAGAGGCTTCAGCCTGTGAGGTGGAGTTAACGCTGCTGTGAAGGAGAGCGTTTAGGACACTGCTGTCATGGATCAGTGCAGTCTGAGCTAGTAAAGTCAACGGCAATTCCTAATCCCACTTCAGTCCAGTTCTCTGTTCCCACTTTTCCTCAGAATACTTCAATTGCTGTCTATCAAAATTTCCCACTAGATGTTGCAGAATATTCGGTTATATTCACTAATATGCAAAGATACGAGATAGTCTACACTCCTAAACAAGATGGTTCTTCAAGGGTTCTTTAGTACAAGGAATTCTATATAAAGTAGTTCTATATAAAAAAAAACATTTCATGCCTAAATGGTTCACTGCATGGTGAAGTGGTTCTTCAAATTAATGGAGAATGTGTTGTATAAGGTTCTATTTAGCACCTTTTTGAAAATGGTTCTATATAGCACCAAAAAGGGTTCTTTTATTGCTACAAGCTTGACATAGTAAAAATAGAAGAACTCTTTTTGGTGCTATGTAGAGCCATTTTCACAAAGGTGCTATACAGAACCTTATACAACACATTCTCCATCAATTTGAAGAACAATTTTGACTGACAAATTTTGCACAGTCTGTAATTGTAGTTTCAGTGTGCACCTGTATGGTAAGTGGACCTGATAAAATAGACACTTAATGTAGATCCAACCTAATGAAGTGGACAGAGAGTGAAAAAGTTAATGTAAAATGATTGTTGACTGGCTTTAATTTTTGAGCATATTGATTGTCAATAGCTGGTAAATTTTACAGAGGCCATCTTTTTTGAAGATCACCAAACAGAGGATTACTGTCTTTTACCAATACTATTTTTCACTTTTTATCTTTTCAGTTGCCATTTTCTTTCAGAAATGCTACAGCAGAAATTGTAATTGGTGATGTTTGTTGAATGAAAACTTACTGACTGCAAAAGTCAGAAACCAACCTTCATGTATTTAATTTCCTGTCAAAATGGCCATTAAGTACAAGTTGTTCAATTTTCTCTGTCAGTTTTCTGCTTTTTCCTTTCTTCTTTTTCTTCATTAATGGCTTCTTGACAGCTACACATCCTTTCAGACTCGAAGTATTGGTTGTCTTCTCACAGTGGAAGGATGGACAGAAACACCTGTGGATTTTTTCAGACGTGAAGCAAGTGTGGAGCTTGATTTTCTCCTCTCTCTCAAAGACAAAATCTTTAAGTGCTGTTTATCTGTTTGGGACAGTTTTGGTGGTCCACCAGGTCTTGCCTCACTGTTAGGAGTCCCATTTTCTCTAGATTTTTGAATATCTTTTAACTGCACTTTTGGAAATTCCTGCTTTTTCACTTTCTTTTGCTTTGATTTTTGATCTTTCCCTTCCTTATGCAAGTGGATTATCTTATATCTAATCTCTTCAAAAATATATCCTGAAAAATGAATAACTTAATAGCTGTTTTGACTGCAAATTAAATAAATGAAGGGGTGTAATTCCTTTAATCCCTTGTGTTCACATCAAAAACCTTTGAGAGAAAAGTCACTGTAGGCTATAGATAGGCCTGAATGCTGGGTATATCTCACACTCTTACCTCACACACACACACACACACACACACACACACACACCCTCTTTCACTTAAAAGTCTCTTCTTTCTCTTTTAACTTGCCACCACCTCACTGTTCTGCTACTAGTAGCACTTTGGGTACCACTAAGAGGAGATCACACAGGAGGGAGGAGAAAAAACAGATTTTTATTACATGAATTATTAAACTTTCAAATATTAAAGGAGGCTGAGATTCCAATGTATTGTGCGGACGCGGCCCTGAAATATTGATGCAAGGAGATGCAGGGTATGGAGTGGTTATTTTTCCTCTCCTGCATCCTCCGTCCACTAGTGTTTTCAGAATCCCCAGAGGAGCCTCTCAGGCTCAGCAGCATGCTGGAGCTGGGGTGAATTTCAGGGCCAAAATGAAGGAATGAAGAAGTTTAGGAGAGACAGGTGGATATAAACAGCCTGCAGTGCTGTCTCAGAAACCCTAAATGTGCTGTACTGGAGCTCTACTCTACTCTTTATCTACTTTACTTGCTTACTTCCTTACTTTACCATTTTACTTACTGTCAGTTCTCACAAATAAGACCACTGTTGGCCTACTTACTGTAGGATTGCAGAGTGGAGTTGGATATGACTACATTGGGAAGAAAATTGTAAAAATCCCCCCAAAAATGTTTGAGAAAACTTATCATTATACAGTATAATGTAGCTAACAAGTAATGGAAGCACATACCCATCATTGAGCATTCTGCAAACAGCACAAATGCATCACCCATTTATCAAATAATCTCATATAGGCTTGCTAATGTGTTCTCTGAGGCTGTTTCATAACTCATTGTTATCATATGTGTTGTCATGACTTTTGTCTATAAAAATGGACAAATGTTTGGACAAAGCTCAGACTTCAAGATGGCTGCTACTGCTGTTTTTAGCCATGTACGTTTGATAACTTTTATAAAAGTGTGTCTTACAGTGTCAGACACCACACATGCGAGGCTAATTGAGAAAAACTCAACACAGTTTGAATTGTGTGATGTGTGAATGCAGTTTGCAGTGCTAACTGGGTGAAGATTAAGCTTCTTGTTAGCTACATTCACCTCATAGCTCCAGTGCAAAACTACAGAGACAAACTTTGAACCCCAAACATATCCTGGCTTGAGGTAAGGGGGAGAAAACTGTGTAAATCTATTGCTTAAATATCATGGATGGAAGCACATGATTCCTAAAGAGACAGAAACTGGAACACCTGTGTAGCCAGCATGTATTTGATAATTACATATTTGATCACCACATGCATCAGTGAATTAGGAGGTAAAACACTTGGTTGTAAAAGTAGAGAAAGAGTACAGTACTAGAGGTTTACTGAAACTGATAAATATTTCAATAATTTAACATTTTATCTAATTTCCATCCATCAAAATTTATTATATTGCTTATTTTTATTGTTTATTACTTACTGTATCTCGAAATTACGGCCAGGTTTAAACAAAGTGCCAATGTTTTTTTGTTTTTTTTTCTGTGGTGGTAATTTAGTTCTTGGTGAACAGTACCTTAGTTTGTCAGAACAACATTGCCAACATTTTATTAATACAGCTCTGCATATTTACAGGCCACATTTAAGCTGATTAATTGATTATTCGTCAATTCACACAAATAAACGAATATCAAAATATTTATTTTTTTGCAGTCCTATAAATTTCATGACAGTCTTGAGGGTTCGTTGATCTGATATTATAGTCACTTCAACTAGATTGGAACTTACTCCTATACATTTTCTTTGAGCTCATAATCACCACCAGTTCTAGACCACACTTCCCCTAACACATACCAATGCATGTCTATTATTAATGTTTGGTGAATTTTGTAGAGTCTAGAAAAAAGGTCTCATTTTTGTATGTCTAAAGTTCTCCCTGCAAGTTTTTGCTTCTTTCACCACCAAAATAAAGACAAAGCATCTCTTTCTTTAGTCCAGGGGGGTATTCCACAAAGCAGAGTTCTCAGTTTAGCTAGATAACTTAAGCCTAAACTCAAGCCTGTCTAATAGGAAAAGAGCTGAGGGATATTCCCATTGGACAGTCCTCATCTTTGGGCTTAAGTTATCTGGCTAACTGAGGAATGCTGCTTTGTTGAATACCCCCAGGTCCATGCACAATACTCAAAATACCCCATCAAGACTGCCTTCCAGCACCTGTCGGACAAGTGAGCTACTTTCTTTCCCGCAACTAAACAAACCAAAACATAGCCTTCAAATCACGCCAGTGTGGCAAGAAACCTTAACATCTCCTAAATGCAAAGTGACAGCTTTGTTTCTGAGTTCCTGTATCACCCCCAAAAACAAATAAAAAAAGCTGAGATAGCACGAGGGTTTGTTTCCACTCAGTGTCAGCTGAGTCAGAGAAACAGAGCTGCGTGGCATCTGTTACAAGAGTGTCTAATTAAACTAAGACGAATGAGCCAGAGGCAAGCTGCAGGCATGGCTGCTCTGAAAAATTCACAGTCATCCTAAATTGTGCACCCAAGGATGATACTCCAAAAGCATGCAGAGATCCAGTAATGCTGCCTGGTGAAGATCTAACCGAATGATGCCTCATTGTGGACTCTAATAGTGTCTCAAAGACATACATCATTTCCACACAAACGCAATACATTTCATCAATATGATTATTGCCAAAAAAAAAATTGTGTTACTATGTAATATATGCATGTGATCATGATGCATTGCTTTTTCAGTGAAAGTACAAAGCAGTTTGGAAGCGTTTGGACTAATTGGGCATGAATATGTCATTTTTCTGTAATAAAACAAATTCAGTGTGAACAATTCCTTTGTGGTTTGGTCAGTGGTTATCAAACATTTTTCCACATGACGTCATTTCCTGTTTATGAATGTTATGTCACACCACATTTGCTGAAGTAAAGCGTTCATCATATGCCATTGTCATGTGGAATAAATCGGTCTGTTCATTCATGATGATGCCAGTGGGTTTCACTGACTCTTGCTGTCATCTGACATACATCTGTAGCTTTCAGTGATGCATAATAATCTCAGTGTCATTTCAGTTTGTTTATTAACAGAATGCTTATGAAAAGGATTGTCAAATGCGCCATAGAAGAACCACTTTTTATCCTTAAAGCACTGTTTCTCAATCCTGGTCCTGGAGGCTCTGCACATTTTAGTGTTTTCACTGCTTTAACACAACCACTTTAAGGTCCACTTACAACATTTGTGTGGTTTTATGTATCAGTCAGAATTCATTTTTACAACAACCATTGTCTAACCTTTCTTCATCCCATAGAATTAAGCAGACTATTTGTGTTAGTTTAAGAGTATATATATGATCTCAGTTCTGACTACCCTGTGTCTCTTTCAAAAAGGAGTCCAGGCTGAAACACTCCTTATAACTTCAGCATGAATGGGCAGGGCTAAACCACTGTAAGCTGAATAGATATATGTGTGTAAATGTGTTGATTTCCGTGACATCACAAAAATGGTCAATTCAAAGCTGGCTGTTTTTGCAGCTTAGTTTCCATATATGTGTGGAGTGGGATTTGAAACTTAACATTGTTTACACAATGTCACAAAACGTATTGTGGTGCATTGTGGGAT